TCCAAAGTTTGCTTTTCTGTTTTGATCCATGGTTATTCCTGACTAAACCCTCATTTGTGCTAGCATTATATAAGCATAGGCCCCTGAGTTGACAAACAAACTGTATTTGCCTGCAGCCTTAGAGCCACTAGCATGGCTGTTTACAATAAGTTACAGAAATTAGAGTTATTTTGACTGCACAACATGTTGTTACAATGAGGACATGCAAGTTTTACTTATCAGATTTCATAAAGCACATAATTTGGCATCATTAGCTGCATTGAGAGAACAATTCTCTAGCAGAACAGTGCTGAAAAAGACAAGCAACAAGAATTTGGCAAAGGAGCCAAACCATCATCCTTTCTCTGCCAGTGAGGAGATACACAGGGGTTACACACAAACACAGACAGAAACACACATTCCTCGCTATCTGTGTGGAGATAGAAATATATCTTGAATACACACATGCACACACACACACAGAGTCTCAAAGGAGTGATGAAATAGATGAGAAGAGGATTCAGGGTGAGCCTGGAGGACTGGATAAATATTGACCTGAATGAATGAGGTCTGTCACAGTACATAAAAAGGGCTATACACTGGCGCACACACACACACACACACACACACACAGTCTCACCAACACCAATGCCCTCGAAGAACCTCTCTCTGTAAACTATATCTGCACACCTTCACTGAAACTAAAACCTGAAATCAAAATTAATATTTACGAAGAAACTGAGATTGTGCTTCACTGGAAGTACTAGTATGAATAATGAAAGCGGTGTGGTGGGAGTGTGGCTGATATGTGTCATTGCCCATGTGCTATTGCAAGTGTACTTCTATGCATCTTTTTTTATGTACATGCCAGAAATTCAGCCCCACCTAAAACAAGCTGAAATACTGCAAAAAACTTGCAAACTTACTTTTACACTTGCTTGAGGGGGAATAGTTGGTGTATCAATAAAAAGAAGATGTGATAAAGGCTGATTTTGTCCAATAAACAAGAACATTGCCGGATTTGCTTCAGCTTTTTTTTTTCTGTAAATACAACAGTGTTATATTGCTGCCAACCTACAGCGATGCTACATGGTGTTCCAAAAAGAAGATAAATTTGTTCATTAAAGTAATCATATTGGGTGGGAAGTACCAAAAGAAGGCAGAATTGAGTTCTTAAAAAGACTTACTGGTGCTCCTTTGTTTATGTAATCTTGTTTTACCCTTTAAAGAAAATATTCAAGATGTTTCCAAAATCCACTTAAGATTTTCTTATTATTTAGTTAGAAACTATTATGTAACTTCCCCATAAATTTAAAACACATTTTAGTGATAGCAATGAATGATAGCAAAGACAGGATTCAGGCTATCACTGTAGTGTAGATCACAGTTCACACTAGGCGCACACAAAATGTTCAATTCATCCTTCATCCATTAAATGATGTACTGAAAGTGGGGTGGGGAAGCCAAAATTGAGTCAAAGGTTCCGCTTGAGCTGGGAGAAATAAAAACTGTAGGTGAGGTCAGACTAAATGATGCAACTTGAAGAAACAAGTAGTCAGATCCACTTTAGTTTCATATTCATCTGTCAAGATAGGGTCAGCAAAACTCAGTATTTGTAGAAAAATGACAACACCACAAATACTACCTCATACCTTGACCTAAAGCTGATCATTGTGGGCCTGTAAGCCTGAATTTTGTGTTTCCCCATACATACATGAAGACAGTTCAACTATAAATTGATACAGAAAAGGCAGACTATGGTGCTGAAAAAATCACCAGAATTCCTCAGACCCCCGCTTAAAATGTGTCCCCTCTTTAATTGTGTAATGTAGTCTAATTTCATGTTCAAGATAAACTCACTGCCAAAGGTTTCTGTCTGTTGGCCTCCTGTTACTGTGACTGATGATATGTGGACATGGTGTACTACTTACTGTGACTTTGTCCTGTATGTGTCCTAGAAGGTACCAGCAGAACCTTTCACTTCATCATGCTCACTCATTCCCATCTACATCTACACTGCCATTGATCCTCATTCAGTTTGGGGAGACAAGTGATCAGCCGCTTCAGTTTGGAACCTTGTTTCTGCTGACAACGTACGTGGCGGCTACGCTACCGCTGGCGGATTCTTTTGTTGGCCTTTTCACTTCATAGTGCATTTTATGAGTTTTGGATTTGCAGAAAAGGACTTTTAATTGTATTTTTACATTGGGGTGTTACTACTTTTATTTAACGATCTGAGTACTTCTACCACTACTGGTGTAACCAATGAAAAAGCATTCTTCCTGACAAGTATAAAAGAATCTGTAATCGTGGTAATCTGATCACTTTTGTAATCTCAGTTTTTATAATATAATCTGATCACTCTTTAGTAATGTAATTACCTCTGTCATCAGATTACTTTTGTAATCAGCAGTAAGAAGCTTGATAAAAAAGGAGGGGAAAAGGGGAAGATTGCATTTAATAGGCTCAATCAGATTCTCAGCCTAAATCCAGGTCATCTTCCTCATATTTTAAGCAACACTACCATCTGCTGTTCTCATAGTGAGAACACACATCATTTAGCATGTCAAGAGTTAACTTGTAATTTTTATTTACATGGCAGTCACAACAAACACAAGTACAGGTGCATGTTCACCTTGTTTTAGCCATTCACCTCTGATGGTTAATGTAATATGGATGGAGGATGCAAGTATCTCAATTCACACAAATCCACTTATTTTGATATTTACACACCCCCTTTCCAGTGAGCCAAGACAAGGACCCTCAAGAAGTTGTAGTTAATTATAACGAAGCAATTAGAATGAACATTGCATGTACACACCCATGTGAAACACACTCAACATATCCATATTGTTTAATACTTGATAACTCCACAGCATGGTCTTGTTTGTCACACTCAAGTATTGAGGCTGCTTGGTCTTCCATCTGTTACCTATGTGAACTGAACACATCCTCCAACCAGTGAAAACTAACTCTGAAGCTGGTTTACAACCTTGTAAAGTTGCCTGTCTATGCTTCCGAAGTTTGAGCAATACAGTGGTCAAACTTGAAGATCAGTTCATATATCTTAAAATTTGTCTTTAAACAACACCCACATGTGCATTGACATTTTTTTTGTTCATTGTACTTGACAAGACATTCCATCTTAAAGATGCAAGAGATGTGGGACAACATCCACAGTCCACATTCATTGTAAAAATGCATTTCAAAGTAAAATCAAGAGCACTCTGTCAAGGTTTCTGTCTTTTTACTACAAAATTTCCTTTTTGTGTTACTGTCCCAATGCCAGGGCTCAGGAAGCAAACACTGTCCATTGGAACATTGCAATTCTGTACTAAAAAACACTGCTGAGGCCTCATTTTAGATTCAAGTGAACATTAGAATACATTTTTACATAGAATGAGGACTGTGGATTTTGCTCCACACCACTCGCACAGACATCACTTTAGGAATGATCTCTTTAGTATGGACAAGGAAATCAATCAAAGCAACCAATAACAACAATAACAATACATGGTGTCATTCGTTGAGAACAAAATGATGTAACAACGGTCAATGGTAACCAAAATCTCCAGGGCTAGATTCAAAATCACACTGAAAATCAAGTGACTTTCATCATGGCAACTCATAATGTGATTCAGTAGTGTGTATGGCCCCCCACGTGCCTTTATGAACTCCAGACAATGTCTAAGCATGCACCTGATGAGATGACAGATGGTGTCCTGGAGGATCTCCTCCATGACCTGGATCAGGGCATCTGTGAGCTCCTGGACAGTCTATGGTGCTACATGGCACGATACATACTGTAATGTTCAAGAGCTTCTCAATTCTGGTCTGGTGAATGTTAGGACCAGTCAATGGCATCAATGCCTTCGTCATACAGGAACTGGCTACACACTCTGGTCACATGAGGCCAGGCAAGAACAAAGGGCCCACTGCACCACCTTAAGTTCTTACAATGACTGAGGATTTCATCCCGGTAACTAACAGCAGTCAGGATACCGTTGGATAGCGCCTGGAGGTCTGCGCAACCCTCTAAGGATATACCTCCCCAGGTCATCACTGACCCACCGCCTGATCATGATGTTGCAGGCGACATAACGTTCACCACAGAAATTCCAGACTCTTTCACGTTTATCACATGTGTGAACCTCATCTGTGAAGAGAACCGTGCGCTAACGGCAGACATGCCAATTCTGGTGTTCTCTGGTGAATGCCAATCGAGTTGCACGTTGCTGGGCTGTGAGCTAAGAACCCACTGGAGGATGTTGGACCCTCAGGCCACCCTTGTCCGGTCTGTTTATGACAGTTTGTTCCGAAACATGCACACCAGTAGCCTGATGGAGGTCACTTTGTAGGGTTTTGGCAGTGGTCCTCCTGTTTCTCCTCGCACAAATGAGCACATACCGGTCCTGCTGCTGGATTGATGCCCTTCTACAGCCTCCATGCTCTTGAGACTGTACTGGTAGAGCTAAACTACTTGTGCAGGAGCTGAACTACTGCAACCTGAATGGCCTGCAGGTATCACCTCATGCTACCAGTAGTGTCCACGGACACTAGCAAAACGCAAAACAAGAAAAAAGCATTCAGGAAGGATAAGGAGAGAGTAATTGCCTGTGTGCACCACCTGCAAAACCATTCCCTTTTTAAGGGTTGTCTTGCTGTTGCCTCTCCAGTGCACCTGTTGTCACTTTCATTTGCACCAAAACAAGTGACTGATTCACAATCACTTATGCTTCCTAACTGGACAGATTGATATCCTGATCCATGATGTTATACTGTGATGAAGTGTTCCCTTATTTTTTTTTGAGCATAATAAACATATCCGTTAACATGTTGGCCCTGTCAAAGTAGGCACACAGTCTCAGTCTCTCTCCATGGTGCTGAAATATTCAAAAGCATGCTTTTTCCCTCGTTCATTAATTAACTATTGATACACTTGTCATTCCGCATCATTTTGCAACACCATTTGCAGGTGACAGCAGTAGCTTAGTGAACAAACAACCCCCATACACCAAACATTCTGTTCCAGCTTTATTATCGATGTCTTTTAAGCATTTCAAACTCTGAATATTGTTCATGTTAAAAAACACTGTTGGAGCTGCCTAATAAGATTGCCATGAAGAAAACTTGATGTTAATTCAGGATAATACTGACTCTGTTAAGTAAACAGGAAACATGGCATTGGTAAATTAATTTATTTTATATGTCAAATGAATCAAAGGAAGGATAAATTCAAGGGCAACTGGACTTGGTTGAAGATGTCCAGTTGCCCTTGATTTGAACCTTCCTTGGATAACCTTGACCTGGATGACGGCGAATCTTCACAGATATAGCAAATCAATCATTACTTTCGCACCTTTAAGGCTGAAAGCTGTCAAACTGCTAACGAATTCAATTATTTTCCACGTAAAAACATTTACAAGAAACAAAATAACAAAACAACAAACTCTTTGTGTTGTTGGAATCAAAAGCTTTGTGGTTGAAAGGTTTCCCACATTACCAAACAACAAACAAAGTTTGTGTACATTCAACAGAAGGGACGGTGGAGAAGAAAAGAATAATGTTCTCTCATTATCTCCCTAAAACATGGAGAAAGGATTCCATTGCACATTGTGTTTGAAGTCAGTTTCATAATTGCAGTAAGAAGACTAGTACCAGCTTTGTGTGCATACAAATGTATTAACAATATATCCATGTACAGGATATTGTGCGAGTAAGAATCTCTTAAATATGTGTTTGCAAAGGCACTTTAACAGGTTGCACCAGTTCAGAGAAGTTAGTTACATACAGTATCATATCGTATCAAGTATACTGTGGTTAATGTAATCACACACAGTGTTTCACTTTCCTCCTACTTCCTGTTTACCTCCTCCTTTTTCCTGGTTCCCTCTGGTTTTGTAGTGCTCCTCTGGTAGGTTCCTTAGCTTCTCAGCAGCCTAAAAAAATACAAGAACACAGCAGCTTTTACACAGTTGTAAATTCAAATGCAGGGACAGAGAGCAAATCCACTGCAATCCTGGTTTTACATTATAATTAAAGAAAAAGGTAAGCTTTTGATGATAGGCTATTGATGGCCATGGATGAAATTAAAGCCCCTAATATCATATCCCAACTTGTCCTATTTACTACTGTATTAAGCGGTTACATTCTTCACCTGTTCAGGGGTGAGGTCCCTTTGCTCCTGGGCCAGCATCTCATACCCAACCATAAACTTCTTAACTGTAGCTGAACGCAGCAGAGGAGGGTAGTAGTGAGCATGCAGCTGCCAGTGGGAGTTGTCTTCCTTTAAATGGGGGCCAGTTGGGGCTCCTGAATAAAGAGAGGGAGACACTAGACTGAAGACACAGAACCTGCTTTACTCGCACAGCAAGAGGCTGTGTTACCCGCACCTCTCAGCCTCTAAAGTGATCTGATCTACTTCTATGTTACAGCTGCATGCATCCCAAACAACCTGATTTGGTGACCGTGAATGATATGACTTCATCATTTTCATCCCCATAAAACCTTCCAGAGACCCCTCGTTCCCTCTATGAAAGCACCTGCAATCATCATGTTTTTAATTTTTTTATTTTATTTAGGTCTTTCCTTTTAATTTGTCACCGTCCGTGAGTCTTTTCATGATTGCAGATTACTGCGTGAAAAATTGCGTTATTACACAACTCTCTAAATTCTCTCAAGAGGGTCATTACCAAACATATGTTTACAGTGATTTGTAACTGTATTTAAGATTTAAATAGCTTCTTTGTTGTCTGTGTTGCCTTCTGAACTTAGTGGAAGGTAATGAGGTGGTCAGAATTAGAAGCATCACTTCTAAAAACATAAAAGAAAAAGAAAGATCCCAGAGACACTGTAATCACAGTAAGAGCTTTTCCTTTAGAGTCAGTTTCCTGACAATGGGGGCTGATCACACACAGATAGAGACAACGGCAGGTCGACATAAAGGAAACTAATGGATGGGAAAAGAAAAGGGAAGAACAAAGAAAATACATTAGTCCAGATAAGCAATGAATAGAGACGGATACTCCTATTAGTAGACAATTGCCCACTTTTAATTGTTTTTGGATCTGTGTTTTGTCTGCTGAATGTGCGGGAGCACATAAGAGAATACATGTTTTTAGAATTAACTATTATTCTTGAATAGGGGCTGGCCAATAACAGTTGCCACATTGAGATAATGATGCTGTACAGTACTCTGCAAAGGTTTTAGGCAACTGTGGGAAAAATGCTGTGAACATGTTAATACATTTATCAACTAAGAAAATGGAAAGTGAGTGAACAGAAGAAAATCAAATCGTGTGACCACCGTTTGCCTTCAAAACAGCATTAATTCTTCTAGGTACACAGAAGCTCGGAACGTAGGTTGGCCCAAACATCTACCCACAGCTCCTTTGTGGATTTATGCAGCCTCAGTTTCTTCTGTCTCCATGTAATCCCAGACAGACTCTGTTGAAATCAGGGCTCCTTGTTCTTCTTTACGCTGAAGATAGTTCTTAATGACTTTCACTGTATGTTTAGGCTGGCGGTTCAATCCCCGGCTCCTCCAGGCTGCATGTTGAAGTGTCCGTTGGGCAAGATACTGGACCCCGAATTGCCCCTGGTGGCTGTTCCGCCACCTTGGAAAGCACATCTGGAATTTGCGTTGAAATTTCTGCCTGAGACAGACGTTGCTGATGCAGTACAACTACCTTGTGTCTTGTTGCTGTGCTCAGTCTTGCCATGGTGTATGGCTTTTGACATTGAACAGTCTCTTGTTAGCTGCGTTTGGCTGTTCCTCACCCAGTTGTATCCCTCCTACACAGCTGTTTCTGTTTCAGTTACTAACTAATTGTGTTTCAACCTACATACTGAATTGGTGATCAACAGCACTTGGTATTATTGTTTAATTATACACCTGACGAAATGCCTACAAAATCCCTAACTTTGTACCTAGAAGAATTGATGCTGTTTTGAAGAGAAAGAGTGGTCACATCAAATATTGATTTGATTTAGATTTTTCTTCTGTTCACTCACTTTGTATTTGGTAATTGATAAGCATAATCTATTAACATTTATTAAGCATAGGCATTTATTCAGGATGTTACAATGCTATGTACTGTAATTCATTATTTAGTGTGTAGCCCTATTATATCTGTACCCTTTCGGTGTCCCTACATGTCTGTATGTCCCTCTCTGTGTCCAAGTCCTTCATCTAGCCAGTTAACATGGTCAGTAATGTGTTGCGTGTTTTCCTCCTGAAGGAATAAGCAGGTAGCTTTATCTAATCCATGATTTCCCAGGTGACTCGAACACCATCCAACCAGTTCCATCTCCACACTGCCACTAATAAGCCTGGCCCTAAATAAAAGCTGTCTGCTTCTAAATGAGCTAAAATAAAGCACAAACACAGATGGGGAGATAACGCAACTCATTATGTGGGCCAGGTCTGTGTGGATGAGAGTGTGTGTGAGGTGGTCAGTGTCTGTGTGCAGTGTGTTTGCGTGTGTGTGTGTATGTGTGACAGACACACACTGTATGTTAGCTACAGCACATCCATTATAATCTCAGCAGGCTCTGTTCCCTTAATCCCCCTTGATAAAGTTAAAATAACATCATTACTTTGGGAGTTAAAAGTTCTTCTACCACTTATGAAAACTGTTGGAAGTAGTCTATCAACTTCAAGATGAACAATGGAAAAACAATAGGAAAGTAGTAACACTAACATCTTATAAGATTTTTTAAATTGTTATTATTTTTTACGTTTTTCTAATTCCACATTGTCAGAGGATGATGAAGTTGCTTTTGGCAGTGAATATTGTGGGCTACTTGTTGTAACACTGGGAAGTGATAGGGTTTTAATTTCAAGCCTAAATTCACACTAGCTGACCCATGGGTAGTGGTGTAGTTTATTGCATTTGATAAAAAACTTTGCTGTTTCACCACGTTATTGGTCTTTCTCTCTCTCCTCTCTCTCAGCTTCTCTCACTCTCGGCACTTTCCCCTCACTCTTTTCACAGTTTTAAATAACGAGAAATAGGAGAGCGCTAATAAACTAAATTGTAATATTATACAGATAATTACAGTAGTAGGTGTAGTCTGAAAAAAAGGGAAGTAGTGTGCAACTGGCGTGTGTGTAATATTACCACATATACTATAAAGGCCAAATTTTATTGTTTTATTACATTGTTCAAGATAATTCTCACTTGTGATTCTTGGAAATGTATTTACCTTCTTTGACAGATGTCTTTCCCCCCATTTTTCCCCTTGTCCAGAAAAAAAAAAATCTGCCACAGAGAATAACGTGAACTACCTGCCTATAACCTTCAACACACTTTTGTAACATGACCTATGCGTTTTAAGAAATAAAACGGACTAGAAGATCAAAAGCGAAACTTAACACAAGATCTGTAGGAGCTTTCACCATAGGCAACTTTACACTGAGATTTTACTTCAAAGATAAATATCAGATAAAGCAAAAAGAAGAAAAGTGAGTCGAAGATTGTGTCCTCTCATGCCCTCTGTCCTTTTCTCCACAGTTTGAGTGCATCATCTCTCTTTTTTTAAACTGTCTTTCATGTCTTCCATTTTGTTCACTGCTCTCAACAACAGACTGGATAGGTGCTCACAAAGCTTTAGCACTTTATTCTCTGAATTGGATCTGAGATGATATAATCATGGCTAAATTTCAGTCACTTTCTGACTATGGGGCTCCTGTAGACTAAATTGTTAGTCTATATTAGTAAGACTGTGTACACAGCACTTGTCATTGGCCTGAGGCTGTTCACAAAAAGTCCAAAATTTGGAATTGGAGGAATATAAAAAGACAATGACTATTAGTAGAGTAGATTGCCCCCTGTGAATAAGATTTTCAGGTGGTGATATATTGACACTATTCAATTATTTCTGAACAAGACTCAGTCTACAGCCATGCTAGCAGCTAGAGAGGCTGTGTGTACAGTAGGGTCAGCTGTGCTTTGAGCTAAATGTTAACTTTATATGATATAATATACTTTAGCGTGCTAACATGCTTACAATGACGATGCTAACATGATGATGTTTACCAGGTATAATGTGTACCATGTTCACCACATAGTTTAATGTGTTAGCATGCTAAAATGTGCCAATTAGCACTAAATAGACACCACAGCTGAGGATGATGGGAATGCAAGTAAACTAAGTTGGGGTGAAGGGGGCCTTTTCCCAAGCTTTGTCTTAGGGGAGGCCCACAGTCTCAGACTTTGATAACCCTGCTGTAGTGTTTATGCTTTCAGATTATTCCGAAAAATGTACGTCAGTGAGCAGTGATATTTCCTCTCTCTGAAACAACTCAGCGGAACACAGCTCCTGCAGGGATTGAACCTGCAACCTTTAGCTTATACAAGGATCACTCTAACCACTCAGCCATGACCACACTGCTCTCCTTTCTGTCACATATCACTCATCGCATCGCTGCACTCTGCTAACCTTTGTTCCAGTTCGAACCGGCTGCTAGGTGTTTCTCTGACATTTGTCACAATAGGTACTTCTCTCACTGTCTCAGAACAAATATCAGCCGACGCTTTAGATGCACAAGAGGAACAGCTGTCTTGACAGCAAACACCTTTATGTACAAAGCCTGAGTCGTTTGTGTGTTTGTTCAAGCTGCTTCTTCACAGCGAGCCAATTCAACACTCGCCTGGCCATAGTTAAAAGAAGATTTATACCCACAACTGCTGTGAGGCGAGTTATTTCAAAATAGATTTAATTTGGATTTAAGTGACTGAGATTTACGCAAATGTATTTTGCCCTCTGCATGGTCTGTCAAAATGAAAAGGTAATTTGTCCCCTATTGCAAAGGTGACATTTCCCAGAATTGTGCGTATGTTTGTGTGCTTATTCACTTGCTGGCTGTCTTGTTGCTGGTTATTTTGTTTCCTCTGACTGTGGTATTTTGCTATGATGCAAAAATAATGGGAACTACAGGAGAATGGGTGCAGGATCCAGACACAACAGTGAAAAATGAGTGCAGCTGAAAATGTTCAGGATGAGAAACTACAATAAACATTGAAAACAGCGACCTAAAGTTCGCCACAATGTAGTGTAGTGCAGATTGGTCTGAAGTATTTTATCTTACAATGTTTAAATCGCTATAATCACAGTCATGGGAATTGGCTGACGTTATCTCCAATTCACCACGCCAAGCCTTTACTGATGTTCATTTAAGTGATGCTCTTTATGCTAACTATACAATTCCTTATGCCATTATAATCCCACTGTATACCATTTCCCGCTCACATTATGTTGCCTCTGAAGCACTAAAAGACAATTTATCAAACAGATGTGAATTCTTTCAAGACACATTGGAATAAATTATTTGGAGGCATGCTGTAGATGTGTGTATGAAATTGATTGGATTGGGAAAAATCTCTTGGAAAAATCAAATATTGTTATGAATCCCGATATTAATTATTAAGATTAAAAATAAAGCTAGAGATGTGTAAAATGCACATATCTGATGCTTCAGTTACTTCTCATGCATTTCTCAACAGGATTACAACTTCTCTCAGCACCAGAGCCCAAGCAAAGTTCAGCAGACAAAAGCAAAACATTCATGCATTTGGTCTAAAATGATTATTCACTATATTCCCTGGGGGTGTGAATTTGTGAGTCATCTCTTGGAAGAAAAGTCGAGCAAGAAAGAAAAGCGAGAAAAGACTAACAAATCTCACATCCAAGTTGGAAACTTTTCCTCTGAGTGTAAAATATCCAGCAAAATAAAGAGATTAAAACCTCTCAGTATGGTAAAATAAAATTAAAGCTACTCTAATCAATATTTTCATATTTGCAACTGATCAAATTACTGTGTGTAATGTGTGTGACTTATCATGGTGACGAATCCACAGACAATTATCGCCCAACTCTGCAGTTCCCCTCAGCTATACATATAAGTGTTTAGCATCTTTAAGCTCATTGTTTTGGTTTTGTTAACTGTTTCCTGGCATCTGTTCAGTCAGTGCAGCTTTCTAAAAATGCTTGACTCTGCTTTCTCATGTACAAATCTAAAATAAGACATGTGGCTTTCCCTTTAAGTATGGAAGGCGCGGCCACCACGCTGCTCAACAGAGAAGACCATATAGTCTTTCTCTGACCCCCGTGCTACCTTTATCTGTGAGAACTCCTGCTCTCCCTCGTGGTAATGTAAGAAAAAAAACATTAAATATCATGATGTGTCTTGAGAGTGCATTGAAGTGATAATAAGTGGGGTGATATCAAAGCTGAGAGTTTCTCATTCGTCAATTTAATACAGCGGAGATGATTGAAATGCAAGAGTTGTCTAACCTGTAGGGAACTTACACTGCAACTTACATACATACATTTTTAACATGACATTGCCCGAGCTAATCAATATTCATAAGTGATATTAATAACATGTTGGTGCATGACATGAGTTAATGTGAAATTATGCTTGAGAGGGGGAAAAATGGAGCACACTGACTGATTTGCAGTCTCTTCTAATGCATACAAGATGGTGCAGAGAATCCTCCTTTCATGAAAAATTATATTGATCTGACGTTAACAGCACAAAATAGAGTGAACACTTTCTTCAAGGAGCAAGGGAAGGAAGAAGAAAAGTACAGTGTTAAAAGACAGGACTGAAAAGGGTGTAAAGAAAATCTTGATGTATGGTGCAGAAGCTTCTTAATGCATCTTGCCCATCTTAATCTATTGTAAATCCTGTTTAATTTGGTACAACACTACACATTTATACCAAACTTTCTTCTTTATAACTCTCCCACGTTTTGTCTTACCGTGCCAGCCCATGGAGTAGGGGAAAGACATTTCAAACAGATTGTCGTACTTGGTCAACAGTCGCTTCATAATGTCAGCCAGACCTGATAAACAGACAGACAGAAGAGAGGGAGAACAGGAGGAAAAAACAGGAGGAGAGAGGGAGGGAGGGAGAAAGACGATGTTTGTTATTGAGTATTGTTAATAATGAATGACATGAGGATGGGGTGCTGAAGTGAGGGCATGTAAGAGTAAAAACCAAAAAAAAAAGTACAACTAAAAAAGCTGTAAATTGAAAATAAGATGAAACTTTTATTATTCTTGAGGGAAAATTAAATATAAAAGAAATGCCTGAATACATGAGGAATAAGTCAGACAGACCAGAGACAGAAAAACAGTGTGTAGTTACATAAACACACACAAACAAACAAGTTTCTCACACTCAAACACTGGACAGATAGAAAGCATCAGAATAGAGATTTAAACTTGTAGCAACTTTTTTATTTAATCATCTGCCACAATTAATAACTGATTAATTATTAAAAGCTTGCAAAGTATAAAAAGCTTGAACCATGAAATCTTTCTTTAATATGTTCTATCTATAGCAACAACTCAAATCAATTGGATATTATAAATTGGGTAATATAAACTAAATTCAGATTCACCAGATTAAACATAATACTTCTGTTCAACTTCCCAGCTTTAATGCAGAGCATAACACCAGCATAACACTTTCACTTAAAATTAAACTCATTCTTGCATCAATAACAAAAAACAATCTATATACAACATAAGCATATACAAACTAATGTAATATAAAAAATCCTTTCTGGCAAGTACTGACTGCAGGAGCTGATTTTGATTTGGTAGCCTGAGTTGATTCACTGTGTTCAGTGTGAAACAGTGGTAATGGGCTGTGTCTCAGACGACATCTATCTCACTGATCCTTCTTATCTATGTGCCCTTGGCTTCACACCTTCATTACACACAAGCTCAATCAGCTAAACAGACTCTCAGCTGTCAGTAGAAGTCTTCCAAATGAGCCCTTAGTTCATTTACAGACGCAATGGTGTTTGTGCTTGAGAGGCGAGGGTAGGTAATCTCACCAGATCAACTCGATCTTAAGAGAATTAATTCTCTGACAACAACAAAACAACATCTGCTAGTCATTTAAACACCATGATGTGAAGTGAATAGTAAATAACCAATTTATTTAACTATTACCCAAGCATTTATTGCTTTATAAATTATATAATATTGGGAAGGGTGACAGGAAAAAAAAACATGCAACCACACCATAAATGTCAATGTACCACCTTTAATTAGCATAATGTCATGTAGGAATACAGGCTTGACACTGACATCATCCATTCATAATTAACATCCATTAATTTAAACACTGGCCCATACTGTAAGGAGGTGATTAGAGGGGCAAATCTCCAGGATATCATTTACAGACAATAATGTTAGTGAGTTTGATTAATTTGATTTCTTTTTAGATGTAATTAATTTTTAAGTTCCATAGTGTTAGGAACTGATTTAGAAGCAGCGCAAAACGAATGGTTTTCTCTCCTAGGAAGATTGGATGTGCTGTGAATGATCACGGAAGATGACACACACACACACACACACACACACACACAACGGGGCGGGAATCAAACCTGCAGGTTCCCCAATGAGTTGGCGAGTTACCTTAAACTAGTCTTAATTGCCTTATCGCTCTCTCAGTCACTCACTCTGTCAGTCTCTTCTCACACACACTCACCCTCCTTCTCCTCTGTTGTCAGGTCATTGATTCTGAGAACATGTCGTCGTGGTAACAACAGCGTCTGGTAGGGCCATGTTGCCCAATATGGAACCACCGCCATCCAATCAGAACTCTCCACCACCACACGCTCCTAGAGAAGACACAAAATTAATTATTTAATTTAGTTTTTGAAGGTGCAGGGAAGAAATGTCATGCTTAAGGTGTTTTGTAGATGCGTACCTATGAATGTTTTCCAACAAATTCAAAACATTAATAGAAACCAGTGAAGGTGAAACCAGATAACTTGAGTTCCATTTCAGAAGAATGTAATTGTAATAATGCAAATTACTACAAAGCCAAGCTTATTACAGAATATTGTTATATACTCTGTTTGTCTCAACTGAGTGTGACTTCAGGGCTAAAGGCTGTCTATAGGACCACAAACATGTTGGAGTGATTCAGAAAAGATTTCTGTGGAGCACAGTATCACTCGAAATAACTGCAATGGCAAACCAGATTATACATATATTACAAATTTCCATTAAAGTATTTTTAAGCAAACTGCTGTTTTCTAAACATATTCAGAATCGTTAAAAATCAATGGGAGCCACCCGAAACTTTGAAATTAGTGTACAATTTGAGCATCTATACAGAACATCCTTCAGTTGAGCGCTTTGAACACGTCTCTCATGCGAATTTAAATAATAAAAAAAAAGACAGTTTGAGCCATCCTAACAGTCAATTTATCAACTCGAAACCTAATATTCTACATTTTAGAGGACAGCTGGTCTAAGAACCATCTGCTACTACTTAACTTGTTGTCTCATCTCATTACATGATTTTATTTCTCCTTTTCGTTTTTTCTTTTTCTCCTCAAACACTCCCTATGCTGTGAATGTGCATGTGCTTGTATGTCGATGTATCAGTGTGTTTTTCAGTGACACGTCCTAAAATAGACAATAGCATGACACTATTTTAAAGCTGAATGTTGATTTAACATGCTGATGTATACACATATAAAAACAACTTGATCAGACCGCTTTGGCTTATTAAGTCACCTCACAGTATTCATTCAGACCAAAATAACATGAATAAAAACAGGTAGTACTAGTTAAAAACAATGCACAGAAAAGGTCGATTGAGCGCGCTTGAGTTCAAAATGATAATGAAACAGGTCAGTCAGGATTGGCTGTTTGCAGCAAGACACCTAATTATCATAAACTGTTTGAATGCAGAATGTGTTAGAAGCTGAGATTTAACAAGCTGATGAGTCGGCACAAACACGACCTTGGTATTACATTCCATTACAAATAGATTAGCTCAGTGTGTGTGTGTGTGTGTGTGTGTGTGTGTGTGTGTGTGTGTGTGTGTGTGTGTGCTAAATAGCAGCAGTAGGAATGTGGTGGAAGTCAGCTGCATACTAATTCAATACACCATGTACAGTCTCACTCATATTTCCTAACATAACTCCCTGTATGCCTCGGTCTGATCACAAACTGAAATGGAAATGTTGGTGTGTAAGGACCTCAGAGCATAAACAGCAACAAGGTCGATAGTCAGTAGAGCATAGTTCTTACAGCTGTATTAACTGATTTTTTTTTTGGCCACTTGGGGGCAGAATAACTCCACATCTGCCCTGATGGATTTTCACTTTATAAAGTTGTTATGGCCAAAGTGTTAGCAAACAGACAGCAAACGGAAAGCATCATTGGCATTCCTGTGCTTTTGGCCAACTGACAAATGCAAGTCAAATATTCACTTTTCTGCTAGCTCTGGTTTAGATTTCACCAAGCCCTGAGCTCTTTAGCCGCCGCTACATGCTCGACTACGTTTATCAGCTAGTCGCTAACTTTGTCTGCTGTTTGTCGTTGTTGGGCAGGTAGTGTACAGTGGATAACTGAAAGCTAGTTACAAAAAGAATACAGTAAATGTGCCATAAAACCAAAACAATGAGGCTAAAAAGCTCTGTAGAGCTACAGAGATGTGCAATATTTTCTTGTGGCTGTACCATTGCTAGCACCTACATCTGATTCATTGTTAAAAGGCAAGGGTAACAGGGTTTGTATGATGTGGGATTCCATTTGCCATATATCCAGAGGTGTAGGTTTAGTGGGCTCACGGGCAACCTCTCTTAGAAGGGAATTGACAAGGGGGCAGTGTAACTTTACCAGTTCATGAGAGCCATGCCCGAGGTATGGTGGTTACCGGGGGTTATTCCTATGATCCCAGGGTCCTATGTTCCCCAGATTTATAAAGCACATAATGGGAACGTGACAAAGGGTCCTATGCTTCCCAGTTCTAGAGTTACGGGGTTGGGGTTTAAGGGGGTTTAGGACCCTGAGAGCATAGATAGTCTCCCATTGAGCGAAGCACTCTTCTCAACACTTCTCAATGCCATTGAGAAATGTAACAAGGGGATATAATGCATTTTACAGTGCTTAACTTGTCATTAAATGTGAAATAGAGTGCTAGAGCTAAAATAACTTGTTAGTCTTTTATAATGTACTGTGTCTGAGCCACGCTTCACAGGAGGGGTGGGATGTTGACCAGTCTGCAAATCACCCACCCAAACAAGCAGTGGAGGGAGGCTTCGGCAGACTACGCTGGATGCAGCGTGTGGGAAAAGTAGATTAACAAAAGCAAGACAAGCTATCAAATGCCATAGCGAAGTGGATAGCTACACAAGGCATGCTGATTAGTATTGGGGAAGATGTTGTTCTTAGGAACGTTCTTAAAATCACAACGCAGTTGCTTGGCCCCGCACACAGTGGCTTCTGTGCGTTATACAGCTGTAACCTATTTAACTTATGTTAAAACTATAGGCTACATAACTTTACCTGATAGGCCTTCATCTAGTTCTGCGGGGATGTTCTGCCATGCAAATTCCCTCCTGTTGATGTCCTATTTAGTAAACAGTAATAGATTCTGGAAACTCACAAACAGCGAGGATCAGTCTCTCTTCCAGTGATTTGTGCTGCTCATCACATACAAATGTGACAATTCAAGACAATTCAACTTCGGCAGCGGGCAGGCGTGTGCGTGAGGCGATCACTTCGCCTCACTTTAACACGGACTCTTGCTACTGAACATAGACTGTTTATGCTGCTCCCTGATACAAGAAAAATATTTCTGCTGAAAAAAACCCCAAGAAAACAGATTTATGATTTAACGTTAAACTATTGCTCAGAAGGTGCCTGTTGATGATGTTATGATCGTGGCTCTGGACGCTGATGGTAACTAGTTTTAACAAGCTAGATAAAAGGTAATGCCCTGGCAGTGGCAAATAGCTTTGGTTTTATATTTGATTTGATCACAGTAATGTTTAAGTTGAGTTGTTGTTTACAAGAAATATTTTATTGCTACTGTAAAAGGAGAATCCTGCTGGTAAAAAGCACCTTATTTGTTTAAAGTGATTGCAAACCACATATTATTGTACTTTTATGTATATAGCAGTACATTTAAATTAAAAGTGTGCAATACACTACTTTAGAATTCATGCGATTAATCGCAGAAAATCAAGCAATTCAATTTTGCTCATAACTCCGTGAGATATATATATATTTCCTTTTATTATATGTTTTTCATATCTTGCATTTATACAGTATGTCAGTCAACTGTAAATACGTGTGCTACCATGCCATGTGAATTGTATGAAAACTCATTAAAAAACAAAATAAACAAAAAACTGATTATCAGTTACCAGTCACCAATGAGAAAACAGTGTTAGGGTATCCTAGACCATAAATCTCCCAGAGGTTTGAACAAACTTGTCCAGGCATTAGTGCATAATTAAGAGATCTACAGGGAATGACGTGGTGTTTAATAACTGTGGAGGAAAACACAGACTAATCTAACAGAATCCCAACGTGTCCGCTTCTCTTTATGAACTGTACTTGCATTAAAGGATTCTACTTAGTGCCTGGTGCAATAACATTAAGCTTCACTTTCAGTGAATATTTTGAGAGGAAGAAAATGAGGGTTAAAGGAGGAAATTGTGTTAATATTATGTGCTTCTACTAAGTATTTATTAAAACCACTGTGAACAACATTGTACTGTGTGTTGTTATCCATTATTGAAAACACTGAATTTATATTTTATACTGCTACATATATACTTCCTTTTAGATATTTTTTTCCCCTGGTCAAGCAGACTCCTCCTCTTCAATCTTCCTTCTCAACCCTCCTCACACTCTTTTTCCACTGTATTCATCCTCTGCTGCCTTTAACAGGATTATTAAGGGGCACAATGAAGACAGAAAAATAAGGGAGAACCACGATGGAGAGGGAAGATTGAGGACGAGGAGTGGAGTTAAGAGAGAGAAAGGAAGTGGAGAGTGTCCTAAAACACCTCACAGACCGCAAATCCCAAAGAGCTATTTTCAATTAGCTTAGAAAGTTTTTGTTTCAAAGTCAAGAGTGTCACCAAGGACCCAAACCCCAATTCAAACTCCTCCAAACACTGCAGTGCGCCAATTTACGGTCCTAACCCTGGGTCAGAGAGACGGGAGCAAAAAGAGAGAGACAGACACACACACACACACACACACACACACACACACACACACGTGGACAAGAATAAGTAGTTTAAGGCATTCTTGCAAACACACACGGTCACACACACTTCTGATTTTATAAAGGTCAATCCCCATGAGCTGGTGTCTAGGAGACTCAAGTGTCTACCCTGCTCTTCTTGAAACCTTTACGTTATACCCTCTATCTCTCTTATACACACACACTGCCAGCAGAACAGGTATCAGCTTATTCCCTGAATGAATCAGCGGCTGTTTGATTTCTCTTTTCGCTTTTCCCTGCACAGCTCTCTCTGTGTGTGACTTTGCGTTTCTGTTTCTGTCCTCACTGGCCTCTCTCCAATCCTTTGTCTTCTTCTTTTGTTCTCTCTCCCTGTCTGCTCATCTCCTTTCTTCTCTGCCTCTGTCTTAATTTGTGCTCATACTCTTTTTGGTTAATTTTATACACTATCATCAAGCTCCCTTCTCCCTCTCAGACTATTATTGAAGAGTAATTTCACCAGAGTACATTCTTTTAGTCACTCAAAAGAATCAGCTTTGATTGAAGAGTAAAAAAAAGTAGAAAAGAGTAGAAAACCCTCCTCCTGAGATAGACCTTAACTGCATTTCAGCTTTGTGTGTGAAGTGGGTAATCAAGAATAATGGCTTTGATTTGTTCTAGGATAGTGAACAACTCGCAGAAATGAGAACAATTGAAGTGAAAAACAGGAAAATGTAAATGTCTCAAATATGGTCTAATAATGCGAATGCTAAACTCTTAGAGTTGCATTTTTTGAGTGAATTAAAGTTGAAATGCTTGATCTATTGATTATCTTAACAGTAACTTTGTGGAGTCTACATTGCTTGGCAACCGGTCCTGTCCAAAGAAATTGTCCAAATCAAATGAAAAATTGTATAAAATAATTAAAGATCAAGTCTGTAATACTTTTGGAGGATCTATAAGTTTTCAGTGGTGTTTAACGTGTAAAGACTTTACATAATAAACCGTTATGTTTTTATTACCTTAGAATGAGCCATTTCTATCTAGTTACTTAAGTTTGAATTTCAAAATGTATTTTTTGAGACAACTTCATATTTCCTAGTAATCCATCTGAACAAAAATTTAATAATCTGGATGAAATAAACACAGAAAATTATATTTTGGTATTTTGTTTTTCAAGACTCTAATGAAGAGCTAAAAGTTAATGGCCTGAAAGCTTTCCATTTGGCCTTAAACAGATTAAAGTGTTGCAGCACAGGATCACTCCAGCATAACATATACGAAGAAATAAAAAGCGATAGAAATGATAAAAAGTGACATCAAATGATCATCACATAACCTAAATAACACAAATGTATAATTGGTTCATTACTACAACTCAAAGGACAATTTCCAGGCAGAGACCTAAAAGGTAGGTAATAAAGTGCCGCTAGTTAATCACATTAGGACAAGATAAACTGGCAGCACATTTGATTGGGTTATCACTGGATAAACACAAGTAAAGCCAGTTTTTAAGAAGGGTTTTAGCTTTGGATATTACCTGAGATCAAGTGTATTAAATAATAAACTAGCATAAGTGAGCTATCTCTCTACAGCTCAAAGGAGTGACAGAAAAAAAGTCATGCCTCTGTCAAGTTTAATTCTCCTGTGGAGGGTTTGTTTCCACCAAATGTCTGCTTATTAATAAGATGTTTGCCAACCTACTTAATGCGCTGTCTTCGATGGTTGCTGCAGCTGATGCACCATACACGACTGGAAAATCACTCACAACAACAACAACAACAACAACAACAACACACACACACACACATACACACACACACACACACACCTAGTTGGTTTTCTTAATCTTCACACAGGTTTAAGATGGATGCAGCAGAGTTATGCTAAGGAGCGTCTCTGCTGTCCAATCACACGCTTTACTGACTGAAGGACAGGCAGAGGATGCTGATGGGGGAAAAAAGACAGATGAATAAGAGAAAGAAGCATGGTGACAAAGAGTTGAAATAGATGGATGAAGGGAGAGGCAATGAGGGGGACAAAAATATGAGGTCAATGTTTAGCAGAAATCCCGTATTTGGAGACATTTTCCCTCTGATATTTATTATAAACTATTATCACACAGGTAGCTAAAATGACTCATGATATTGCTCATGCTCATAAACTCCAAATTTCATTGAGCTAATCGATTGGGTTTTTATCACCCATGCCATATATTGTTGTTTAATTTACTGTGTCTGACTTCTATAGATGCAAGATTTGTTGCCCATCTTCCAGTGAGGCATACAAGAAGAAGACCAAATGTTTACCACTGTTTTTGTATAAAATGTCGACGTAATACATAACGGACAATATACAGTTCAATTTAATTAAAATTTTCAGAGCATTAAATCACTGACTCTAATAATAAACACACCTCACACTGCTCATTTTCTGTTAGTAAAACCTCCCAGTAAGGGAAAAAAATGTGCCTCCTCTGTATGATTGTTGAAAGGTATTCTGGAAAATGTAGAACCCAAACAAAAGTGGAACTAAGTGAGACCAGTAATGGTAAATTACAACTTTTCTTTAAATGCTCATTTTAAATATAATTTGCCTTTGTGTTTATATGTGTAAAAGCTGTACCTTTTTCTCAGCCTCTTGTTTGGCGTATTGCAGCAGCAGTGGCTCTCCATGTTTCTGATAGTAGGTTCTCTGACAGCGGTCTGACAGAGCCGGCTCATTAGGCAGGAAGTTGCTGGCCCACACCTATGATGTAACAGGAAGCAGGAAGAAGATGGAGGAGATGATGATGAGACGTAACAGAAATCTTGAAAACCTAAGAGTTATAAATGTGGGTGTACTACCACTTTTTCCCGCTGCCCTGATTTCAAATGACATCATTAAATCTGTGGTTTAATAGGGTTATTTATCAGTACTATTCAATCAGTAAATGTTTCACAGGTGCTGAGATTTCTAGATTTCAAAACTCACTTTACTTTTTCCATTCAGGCTTTTCAAATTGATAAATGGGTTTCCCCTGAAGCCACCAGCTTTCATTTATTTCAATACAGTATAAAAATCAACTTGCAGGCACTAAAATGTAATTGAGATAGGTCCTTTATCACGGTGAACAACAACAGCTGGGTACCATGCTTGATCAGCTTCTTAATGTGAGCGTTAGGGTCCTAAAGTACATGCATACAAAGCTTTTTTGGAACAGTTATGGTTATTTTCACATAAGAACATTTATGTAGTATACGTTTTGTCCATGCTCATGTCACTGGTCTGAAGAGGGCGGTGCTCGGTTAGAAAAAGGCAATATTGCCTTTTCGGTTTCTGTTCTGCGCATCAATCATGATTTAGCAACATTTGAACTTAAATTTGATGATAGTTGAGAGGCTGTTTGCTTATGTTGACTATTAAAATAAAATGTAATGTTGACGTATATCGAAAGGGACCAGGTTTAACGTTGGGGGGAAAAGAACCCCTGTCTGTCACAGTGACAACTGCTCTGTCTCCCACTCTTCCTCTACAGCCGCCTCATAATCTCTCTGTTCCCCTGCATTTTTCTGGGATTTGTTAAACCCCACCATATGGCCTATTTTCCAACATTTGCAAGAACCTGATTCTGTTCCTCCCTGGCAACTGCCCCTTGTTAATCCTCAGCATATGTACCAGCCACTTTCCCTCTCCCCTCAGCCACATAATCTATACAGCTCACTTGCTGTAGCGGTCCGGCCGATTCTGTCTGCCGGCCAGCTGTTGGTTTACCTGTTCCTGTTTACCTGCCTATTATCAATTACTCATGACCTGTTGCTCGTCTGTGACCTGCTTTTTCGTCTATGTTGCCTGTTCTGACAAATTGGGTTGGCCTGTTATTGGACTTCTGTCTTATTACAGTGCTTTTACTCAACCCTGCCTGTGTGTCGGTGTTTAGGTCCTCATCCAAAACCTTGCCCAAAACCTGAATTGTGACAGTAGATGTCATATGTAATGGTACTGTTGCGTGGTACAATGCAGTTGAAAGTGTGGTCAAGTTTTTAAAAAAGCAAAACAAAAGAAATTTTATATTGTATGGAAATGAACAAAGTGCAGTGCATGTTTGGATAGAAAACCATATATAAAAATATTTCTTTCAAATACAAAAATATATATAAAATACATAATAGTAGTATAGAAATAGTGATTAATACTGTAATTTAAAGAATATGTTATTACAAACACTTGGACAATCTTTAGTTTTCCTCTAAGCTACATGAACAATATAAGTAGATAACAGGGGATTTAGACTTCACCAGATATGACGTAGAATTTCTGAAAAATGGTATTGATTTCACTCCACATTACAAAACAAATCAAATACTGCCATGCATAATGCTCAAGTCACACTAAATTATAGCTGTAGCAATTGGTGTGATGGAGAAAAATACAAAAAAAACAGACAAGATACTGTTAGTCATTTAATTTGGAAAGAACATTCATCTGCATTACTCACCTCCACAAATAGCACTACAGTTTATTTTCAATCATGCTTTGGAGAAAACACTTTTAGGCTGCAGAATTAGCTTCATAATGTACTTCCACTGCATTTCAGAAAGCTTTTTATGGATAACACTGAACGCCTCGGCAGGCATTCTGATAAATTATATTTGCGCTATGGTATTTTAATGTCTGTAAAAGAAGGCAAGGAGTGCCAACATGTAACTACTGTTACTTTGCTTGCAGAATAAATCACTACCTGAGATAACAGTTACTCTTGTTTTGAGGAGGAGGTATTGACTTATGGGTTTGTTACAATTAGCATCCAAACTAATGGACACAAGTATACACAGGAATGCAAAACTCCTAAGTGTCCAAGAGTGCAATACATTCATGCTCTGATGAGTTAGACCTTCACCAGAATATTGATTAGTTGTACTGAGAGGCAAAACTGTTTATGTGTTTATAACTGACAGTAGTCTTTCTTTTTATTATTTGTGCTTATTGTCCAGGCTAGGAATTACTGTAAGCTGCCTTCAGGTGGTATTTCTATCCTTTTGTCATCATTTTTAGAGAGCTTTTAGGCTTATTACAGTGGCGTTTTACTAAAGTAACATTTTGTGTCACCAGATGTAGGTTTTCCAATTATATATTTTAATATTCCATCACATGAACAGCGTAATAATCAAAGGCATTCTCTGCTGTTTTAAGCAAAACTGCTTCAAGCTGCATGCCAAATTGTTTTCTGATGAAACCACTTTTCGACCCAGAATGCAGTGCAGGAATCACACTGTCCTAGGCTTCTACAAATTACTTACAATCATTTACAACAGGGGGAGGACTGCATTATCGCCAGGGGGGAGGGGGGTGATGATCAGGAACTCCATAATTTTTTAATTTTGAGGCAGTTTATTAGTGTCCTATTGGCTTTGCCTCTAGGGCACCTGTCATAGCATAGCCATATCGTCTTGGTTTATATTCATAAAATAATACTTAATATGCTAATAATAAAGCAAATGCAATGAAGTAATCTTTGAAAAAAAGCTGGAAATTATTCAAGATTTTTGGCATTTTTGCCCTAGGCCTTGGCAAGAATCTGTACACGATTACTGCAATGCAAAGAGAAACCAGCTTAGTGTAATGTTAATATTAATGACTTTTGAATATTGGCTAAAGGCTGTACCATGTTTACAATCCTGATCCTGGAAAGACAGAAGGAGACAGACATGGTTAATGTGTGAACTATATATGTGAATAGTGTACATCTGCAGGCCTCAATGCAGGTATAATGGGGTGTGGGTGTGTGGGTGTGTGTGTGTGTGTGTGTGTGTGTGTGTGTGTGTGTGTGTGTGTGTGTGTGTGTGTGTGTGTATATACACATTTGCACGCATGCTGACATCTGTAGCTGTGGGCCTATTTGTACACCTGTGTTCTTGTATACACGGATCTACCACCTATCCAGTGACAGACTCTCTGTTGATTCTCAGAGAAAAGTAAAGATAACATACAAAAGTAAAACAAAGTATTCCCACAGGATAGAACTTCTGAAAATAATAGGTATCACTTTTAGCATTATGAGTTCAGTGTTGCTCTTCAATACTGAAATACACACTTAGGGAGCAAATATGAACTCAATAACCATCTGCTCCTGAGAGGCAAATGTTTTCAAACACATTCCGAGCACTTCACATAATTAGTCCTGTATATAGTTGGGGCTACTTATATAAAAAAAGGATATTACTATTCCAGAGGCATAAGTCTTCCTTCCTCCACTTACACAAAAATACATACAGCTCTGTTCCTGTGAGACCAAAGTTATCAGAAGCAACGCTGCCTCCAGAACATGATCATTTTCTGTTCATTACTCTTTAAAGTTTTACATCTTTGCTTCTTACGTTTTGGCCTGGAGGGGTTGTCTGCACACACACACACACACACACACACACACACACACACACATTAATCTTTTCTTGGACTTTGATGTCTTAAGAAAAGGGAAATCTGGACCGCAGGAAAAAGAAACAAGAAACAAAGCTGCTAAAACTTTTAAAAAGCTCCATCAAAGGCTGGATCCAGGTTTGATTTTGAATTCTATTATACTGGACCAAATGAAAACAAAACACATATTTTTTTTAATCTGGTAACAGTTATGCAAGTACAACAGTTCGACTGCACCCGAATACATGTATTATAGGGGTTTTAAACCATCTTTTCCTCCCTGTACAGTGGGTGTATCTTGCTCTACTTTTTACTTCTGAAGTAACAAATAAATAACTCGTCAATGGGGAAACAGATCAGCCAAGGAGCATCCAGCAAATGATAGTGTGTTAAAACCATGTTATTCTGAGGTTACATACTGCCATCTGCTGCTGATTTCTATATTACCACCTGTTTTTCTACCTGTGCTGCAGAAAAGCCAAATAATTATTTTACTCCAAAAGCCAGTCTATTCCTTTAAATGTTTTGAGAAAATACTACCAGGATTGGCCTGTAGGCTGCCTTTAGCATGAACAGACTATTCTCACTAGATCTGAAACCTTAAGTGGTTTTCAGAGATTTATTTCTTTCTTTATCTACATTAAATGTTTTTACTTGTCGCTTCAGTCAGAAATATCCTCATGGTAGTTTATTATTTTCACAAATACAATGGTGCTACTGACAGGCAGCTTCCCTGACCAATCAGAAACCAAATTAATTACATGTAGCCCCGTATATGGGGGGTAAAGACAAAATTCCTCACTGGGGGAGTGAATGAAGCCATCCAACTGATGTTACCTGTACACATAAACATTAGCCACGTTTCCCTACTTTCTTGGCACTACAGCAAAATATATTGACTTCCAGCAACTTACTCTGCGGCTGAAAACAGTTATTTTGTTTCTGATAGCCCTGTCTTCCTTCATGTGTGACTTCCCATTGGTTGAGGTCTTTTCATCTTAGGTTTTAGGCAGTTTTATTTGTTTTCTACTTCACTTGGATAGCTGACATATTATTTTGACCATACCAACAACAATATTGCTGTTTAAACTTCAACATATCATGCTTTTTTTATCATTCCAGCTCCTGTGCTTTTTCTCACCATCGCACTGTCGAGTGACAGTTTGACAGGAAATTTCTGTCTTTCTGAGTTGTTAGTCTTGCCCGAATCGTTGAACAACAAAGGAAAGACAAGGAAACGTCCCAGCAGTAATATAGATGGGACAATGCATTAAAAAAAATCTGAAAAAAAGAAATAACAAACACACAAATCCACACAGTCATTGTGCTTTCTGAATGAAGAATCAATTAACAGATTCTATGCTGAGACTTCTCTGGCTAGTGCTTTTTAACACATGTCAGCTTCACTGTCATAGTGAATCTCAAGCAAGCATCTTAGAAATCATATCGTGCCTACGTGACAAAAGCATTTGTTATTTTATGTTAATGCTGCACCTTGGAACATATTGCAAGAAGTGTATATGTGTTAATGCATGAACTCGTCATGGTTTCAGTGCTGTGTGCTCCTGTTTTATTTTGAAAGTATCCTTCCTCGTGTGTCTTGTGTACCTTTGCTTCTTGTCTTTCTTTGTTTACAGCCTGTTTGATATTTTGCCCTGCCATAATGAGTTCCACCTTCAGGTCAAGCATCCCAGGCCCCTTCCTCTGTTTATGGATTACCTGTTGGCTGATTTCCTGGACTTCTTTTGTATTTGGATTATTGCCTGCTCTCTTATGGATTTGTTTGCTTCTCCGACGGCTTAACTGATTTTGCCCGCCTTCACGTTATTGTAAGCCAGTGTACCCATTTGTTTTATGGTTAAATAAACACCTCTAATCTGAACTTGCTCTGCCTGGTGTTGTGCATTTTGGTCCAAATCCCTCGTTTTTCTGTGTCTGTGCTTGGATCAGCATGACAGAACTTCATATTCTCACATCGAGGATGTTTCATTTATTCACGTCGTTGGAATCGCTCAAATGATTACCTTGTGTGTGTGTGTGTGTTTGTATGTATATGTGCTGTTCCTACCTGACAGTGAGGATGTGGATTTGAACAACCCATCATAGCTCCTTTATTCTCAAAAATCTAAAAAAAAAAAAACAATAAAAAAACAGAAAAGTGAATCCAGAATTTAGTTTACCTTTTTTTGCTCAAATGCAGAACAACAAAACTAAAGCAAAGCAAATCAAAATTACTACAAACATAAGAAGAGAAAAGCCCTTCGGTAGTGCACTGGATGTCAGCACCGGCAAGTAAACTGTGAACTAAAAGAAAATTCTTTTTTTTTTCCTCCAGAAGTTAAAGGTCAAAGTAGCCAAGTCTCTCTTAAGGACTCGCAAATCTTGCTGATGCAGGTGACAGGACTATCCAAACTACCGTAACCTGGGAGAATGGTGCTGTCCTTGGTGCTGATATATGGTGGTTAACACGGTTTCAATTCCCCTGTGGCTATGTATACATTTGTCTATTTAGTGATTCAGCGCCTTGCTCTAGGACACTTCAAAAGATGCCGGCACTCACAGGTGTTTTTTGGATCACAGGAAGAAATTTTGATTTGCATTGGACAGAAGTCCTGAAGAGCATTATGGTTGTAATTAACAAGACTTGCTATGCTGTGGAAGTTAGAAGCTGACATTAGCTACAGTAATAGCTTATGAGGGTCATAGGTACTACGATATTTGGTGCCATTCGACACACTAAACAAACAACTAGCAGTTAGAATATTATTCCATCTGCATACCTAATAATGTACCATGACCATTAATGGTGTGGATCAGCGTCTATCTTATAAATCTATCAACAAAGACAAGACACACTGTCTTTATTTGCTGAAATAGGACAAATTTAATTGCTAGTTGTATAGACTTCAACATCTATCTTTCTCCATATCCTTCTCTCACTCCTGCTGTTTGAGTTTGCCCAGAGGCATCATTAAAGTTTTATCCAATCCAATCCAAGATGCAATAAAATGAAAAATTCGGAAGAGCTGAAAACGGAAAGATCTGGAGCACACGGTGAAAAGTTTACAGGTATCCAGCCCTGTGTGTGTGTGTGTGTGTGTGTGTGTGTGTGTGTATTTTAATCCCATACCTGAACCCAGGGGTATGTGGTACCTAGTTCTTCGACAAGTTCCACCCACTTGTCAATCACCTTAACAACCTCTTGTTTTTTCATGAGAGGGAGGGTGACATCAGACCAGGGATGGAAACACATGACCTTGCTGAAGAAGAGATGAAGACAAAGGCAGAGAAGGTGACAGGAGATGTCAGATACCAGGAAGGTAATAATACATGGTATCAATGTCACATCATTTAAGATACACAGTGAGTCAAACAATTCCCATGTATTGATCGAAATCTGAAACAGAACTGACCAGAAATATCTTGTTGCAAAAGTCAGAGAATCAGTTCAAAACTTTTACATTTCATCCCATTGTGATAATGAATGCCATCACCACATCTCATGGCAATCCATCCAACAGTTGTTGAGATATTTCAGTCTGCAAGAGATCCGCATTGTCGTTGGTAGACCCGTGACACTAGCATGACTAAAAATAGTATCAAACACTGAGCTGTGAAACCCTTCTTCTTTTAGTATCTCTCTAATGACCAGTCAGTGCTAGAGTAACAAGACAAAAGACACAAATATCACAGTTGCTGTCATCTCTTTGTTGAAGTTGGGGGTTTAATTCTTTGCAAATGGGCACCTTGACAGTAGCACCTGTGTGAGTGTGAAACCACCTTTTTGTTGTCTTGCAGCAATCCTAAGGGTTAAAACCAGGGAAGAAAAATCTATTCAAAAAGATGATAATTACTCAACTCCCATTCTGTCTTTGTTCAGTCTGCCTTCCTCATTTTCTTTGTGTGTTTATTATTTATTACGATGTTGTTGTTGTGGTCGGGATTAATAAGTGATGAATGTGCTGCTGCCGTCTTGCCTGGGATTTCCAAGATGATCTACTGTCTTTGGGCCTGGCCTGGTTAATTGAATTGATCTGTGAGATTCTTTTATAGCCCTGATGCGCATTTGCTGAATAGTGTGAAAAAACTGCTCTGCACTTCCCCGAGACCATAGCCATGCAGCTAAATGTCTTCTTTAACATCTTTTTCTCAGTCAGATGGGGTGGTCTTCAGATCAATTGAAAAACAGTTGTACTTCATAAATAACAATTTTTCAATTTGAAAAGCCTGCCACTCATTTTACATTTTATGTTTAAGGAACTCTCTTATTTTCTTAGAACTGGCATTAAAGTTTTGAGATTTAAGTGAATCTAGGTTTAAAATACAATCAAGGGATAAAGGTTAATATTATCAAAGCATTAAGGTTTAGTTAAGGTTTTTTGTTTGTTTATACTTGTATTTGTGTGTATTGTGTTGTTGGAAAGCACTTTGGGTCAACTCCTGTTGTTTTTAAATGTGCTATATAAATAAAGCTGACTTGACTTGACTAGTGAAACATCACTTAGAAGTAAACAAAAAAGACTGGGACTACAAATGTCAATGTGTATGTTTGCTCTCAGCCTTACCTATGGTACTCAGGGGATACCAGCTCGACTGTCAGAGTCAGAAAATTTCTGTCAACAGAAAGGCTCTTCTTAAAGCCCTGAGCAACTAGTACACAATCAATAATTGAAAATGACTTTGGTGCAAAACCAAATGGTTGTATTTATGAATTGTTTATGAGAATTATACGAGCTGACAGAACTCCAGTATGTGTGTATGTGTGTGTGCGCGTGTGTGTGCGTGTGTGTGTGTGTAAGCAAGCACTAAAACTGCATAAAACAATTATGAACCAAACACTAACATGCTCACAATGACATGCTGATGCTAAGCACCAAACTGAACCAAACTGCATGGCAATCCATCCACAAGTTGTTGAGATATTTCAATCTGGACCAGATCTGAAGTGGTTAACCTACCAACCTACTGACTGGCCGACATTGCCATTCCCAGATCCACAGCTAAAAATCCATGGCTAAAACGAGAGCAAGCAAAGAAGATTGTTTCCTGGTTACCACCAAGGTTAGCATGCCTTTTTAGCCCTGTTTTATAGTTTTATCAGCATGGGTTGACTCAAAGATTATTTTCATAGCAATTTCATTTTTCTTGGAAACTACGTTTCTTATCAAGAGCTATTGTAATTTGATGTCACAATAAGAAAAGTAGAGGCAGTGTTTTAAGTGGTGTGACTTGCAAACATAATGTTTATTTGTCTCAGGATTTAGGATCGTTCTGCTGGGAGGGAATGTATTACTGAGAACTTGCTGGAGCCAATGGAGTTTTGTTAATGCCAAACATTATCATATGTTTTGGGACTGCAATGTAGTTCATTACTTTTGGCAGGCCACTTGATATTAAGATTCTGTTAAGGATTGACATACATACAGTACCTGGGCCAATTACCTGCAAAACATGACTTTAGTAAGACATAAGTCTTTATTTAAAATTGTTGTTATATATATATGCACACACATACACACACAAACACACACACATATATATAAAATTTATTAAGGATATTTATGTAATGGAGAAATTCACATGTTATTTCATGTTCTTTAAAGCTGCAATTAAGCAGATACAATATTTTAGTTCCACTGAACCATTTATTTAGTTAATTATGGTATAAATAATGGATTAAATAATATCACTACCGTTGTCACCTAAAGGAAATTAATGAATGTGATATTTTTGTGCTATAAACAAGATGTATTTATCTCAGTCTGTTCCCTGCATCTCTTTACCTGTTTTTCTTTTGTATTGTTTGATTGTTTTTTGGTAATGTTATATTTTGCTTTGTACATTTTCTCTCTCTTCTTTTTTACAGCTTTTTTGTTTACATACTTGCAAAACTATATGAAAGAGTAATGATGAAAAGATTTTTGTAATACTATCCATGAAAACTACTCGTGTCAAAGAAATTTTCTCACCTCTTCCCTCACACTCTGTCTTTTGTCTCCCATGACCCAAGTCCCATTTCCCATTCTTTTTTCCCTCCAATTGGCTCTGTGAATGTGGCTGCAGAGCAACAAGCACAAGCAAGTCCATCGTTTAAGACATGACCGAGACGAGACTGTGTGTGGACTGAGCAGCACAACAACTGTACTAAACAAACAAGCATACAACCGCCACATTACATAAAATAGCCTGAAATTTAACAATCAATACATAGACAGCGCAGCACATCAATCAGGACTGTTTCTCTGCTTCATTACTCTGTGAGTGCGTGTGGTAAGCAACGACTGACAGCTTCAACATCTGCCAAGACATGGGATTTAAACACCAAGTTGAGTTTTCAACCAGCACATGCAGTACAGTGTTATGATTTCATCCATTATTCAGTTGTTGTGTAACTCTGCTGTCAGGCAGAATACTTCAAGTATTCCCAAAATTCGGGATTGTTCAGTAACATCTTTAAAATATACAAAAAAGAAAATAAATAATCCTGTACTGACAACCATATATCTTTGATGTGATATGACATGTGAGTGGGTTGTATATGTGCTTGCGGTCACGGAGCTTCACTTACTGATCACACAGTAAGGTGAGGTCAAGCTTCAAGATAAAGTGTTGTGCAACTTCAACTTTCTGGTGATGTCAAAATTATAACGCTATTGTGTATTGCGTGAGTAAGTGAGCACTGACAAAGGATTAACTCTACTGTTAGACTTCTCGACTCAGACCTATTGCCTTTGAGAGTGAATAAACCCAACAGCCTACAGACCGGAAAGCTGGCCCAGTCCCCATTCCCACACCATTGCTGAATACAACATTCTCCCAGGAATATGCAAGATTTTGCCTCAGGGAAAGAAAGCATTTACTACCGCTGAACTGGATTCCATGTCATCATAACATTTAAGCATTTTAGTTCCTATTAAATGGAGTGGTGAGAAAACATCCCCATCTGCTGGTGTCCCGGAGGAAAACACAAATTTTAATATATGTATGGTGTGGATTTGGGATTTTGTTTCACATAGTTTAACATGTCCTGAAAACAGGTGGCATGCAGGGCGCTGATTAACAAAATTAGCTTCACCTAATAGCTGATGATGATGATGATGATAACAACGAAGCCTCAGCATGCCTGCTCTGATTGCACTCATCAGTACAGATTTAATTAGTCATACATTTGAATGCATCATAATTTTTGAAAGGAACACTGATTAAGATGCATCCCTGAATACATTCTAACCTTCCAACCACATGTTAATTTATATTACGTTAATATTTATCTCACTCTAACACTGTTTATTGGTAAAGGACCAGGTATCACATCAAATGTTGCTATGTGATGTATTGTGACAGATTTAGTTTCAATGAATAGCACATAGAGGTGCAGTAATCCAAATAATAATTACGACATTTACACATACTTTACACACAATGCCAAAACCTTAGCACAGTAAAGTGGCAAACACTGATTATTCCTGTAATATGTGACATGAGGCTTTGTTCTCACCAGACGCCCCTGGCAGCTTTAGACTGGAACAATGGATGTTGATCCGAACCTGAACAACACAACGGCAGATGTAAGCTGTATTTAATAATGCGCCACATTTTTCATTCACACAATTCATTTGCTGTGTAATTTTAAGGCACAACTACATCGATCCACCGGCACCCAATAAACCCACTGAATCTGTGTCTTGAAATTACCACAAAAATAAAATGTGTTGTGCCTAACGTGTAAATCAAACACTCCTCAAAGTATTATATTTAAGCAGACAATGGCTGTATGAAAGTATGGAACACTGTCAATGTTAATTTAAACCTTGAATAACTGTAGAAACTACATTTTTACCACTAATGAGTAAAATAGAATAAACAAACGATTGAACTTAGCAAACAAACAATCTGTGTGTATAATTTCATTGCATTGCATTTCACAAAATAACTTCAGAACTACATGAAAGTGAATGCAGGAAATTTGCTTTTTTGCAACCAGCTGAACAAATGCTTATGCGACTAGTTACCTATTACTGTATGTATTACAGTACATATTACAGTTATTTTTTTCTGTTATAATACATTGACTTGTAACTGTATTTTACAGCATCAGAAATAATACAAACCAGGATCTGGAGCATGTGGCTGAAGAGCGGGGAAGTCATTTTCAAAAACAAAAGTGCTGTCATAGTCTGGATTTTCCTAGAGAGAAATAGACAGACACTGTATATCAAAAATGGGTGAAAAAAACAACAGTTATTTTGTTGTCCAAAGAGAATTTAGAGATATGTATCAAAAATGTGCAATAAAATTGCAAACACTGGCGCATGGTTAAATTACGCAATTTGATTAATGGTATATGTCCACAGCACCAGTAGTGACTAGCAGAAAGACCCCTTTGTTGTGAATATTTCTTAAGGGGCTTCGTTGATGTAACAGGGAAAGGTAGGACAGGTCTAGAGTAATTTAGCTGGCCCCATAAGTGTTTTCTGACATTCTAGCTTTAGGTATTTCTCACATGTACTTGTCCTTGTCAGAGAGACAACAATAGACTGATTAGTTAGTGACAGTAGCTCAGGCTTCAGGCTAGCAGATATCAGTGTTCTCTGGGAATCTTACAAGGTTGAGTCCTACAAGAATGTTTACCAGAACTCACTGGCTCCACAGAATAGAGTACAACTCATGGATGGTGTTAGATTCCAATAAGCATTGGAGTCTAAACATCAGATAGATAGTTGTTCTAGGTGAAAGATGACCTACTAGAGAAACCTACAGGCACTACGGGGAAGAGAGAAGCATAAAAGGGCTCAAAAGATGTTATCCTTCAGATTTTGTGTTGGCATTTGACGTGTTCACATGTTGTATGCTGGCACTGTATCTCTTTGGCCGGGCTCAATAAACAATGCTATGTTAAGTCTTCAACAGTCTCTGAAAATTCTTCACACCTGAACCTGGCTCACAATATTTCTTCAACACCCTTGACTGGAGAAAAGTATGGATGAAACATCTGCAACATCATCTACAGGTTTCTGACCGGATGAGTTAGAGTTTACTGCTTGCTTCCATCTTTTCAGTTGTTAGAGCCAGACTAGTGTTGGGGCTGGGCGGAGCTAACATGGGATGAGAAGTAGTACAACACTATGGCTGAAAGGCATTAATGGCGTTAATGTACCTGTTCTCACCTCTCCATTTGCACGTGTGTTCCCAGGACAGAGTGGGTTGCGGGGGTCATATCTGGGGATCTGTTCCTCAGGAGGTTTTTCTACCTGACCGGCCCAGGGTCTCTTCATGCGGTGGGCCGACACCAGGACCCAGGTGTCCCGCAGAGGGTTGTAACGTAGGTGCTGGTGTTCTGAGGGGTTTAGGAGACATAAGACAAGACAAATATAATTGTTGGTTCTCTTCAGAGCCAATCAGGCAAGTGCACAGAAATCAATCTGTTCAACAAATCACTGTCCATTTCACCCTCTTTATTTGTAGTGTTAACAACCAGAGGAAAATTGCTGACATGTTGTGTTGAATGTTGCCAAGTATTGCTGCAACTAATGATTTTAAAAGTAGCAGGAACTCAAGTCACGAGACAGCAGTGCTGGCTGTGTTTACTGTAGGCATTGAGCACTATGCCAATGCGGAAGGACAGACCAGACACATTAGCTTAATCATAACTGGATTGGAAAAACTGGACTGAATTTACAACAACATATATTGATTTTAGCAAACCTGTACGTTCTTTTACACTGGAATTTAATGTGACGAACTCCATTTAAAAATAGGTTACTTTAAATGGTTCCTCTAGTATCGTAATTCTAGTTTCAGGTTAGATTTATTTTTATGACATTTTACGAATTGCTAGAACCTGCCAATAAATTCGGCTTGTAAATAATCCACGAAGCATCCGTTTTGTTAGATAAATATTTAATGTTTGGTTTGTGTGAAGAGTGACGCGCTTAACTTGGCTGAAGGATTTATGTAAACCGTTAGCCGACAATATCGATAGCAGTGCTCTTAAGTGTAATGAAACCAAGTTCAATAGTCTATCCTAACTTAGTCATTTTCTGGTGGATTTGGCATATAGTAATGAAGGGTAAGAGTGCCAGATTTTAAATAGAGTTTGGAACTACTTCGTAAACTATCTGCAGCTACACATGTATTGTATGAATGAATTGTTAACTCTAGTAAATTCACAAAGCCCCATACCTTTTGGATCAAAACAGACTTCTTTTTTGCCACTCATGTCGGTCGTTGCTGTTTGAGAAATGTCATCTATCGCCGAACCATCAAATCATTCTGAACTACAGCTAACAGCTATCTGTCGACAAAACCTACTTCCTGTTTTTTTGACAAGAGAGAGAAAACGTACTCTTTGGGACAAATCAACGTATGATGACAAACCTCTAATAGTCCAAAAAATAAGGGTGAAAACCACCAACTATTAATAACATTGAAAAGAATATGTTCCTCTCTCAAAATGCATCTTTGTGGATAACTATTTTTGCATAAATATGCAAGATAAATAAAACTACCTAAAGGGGGTTTTACTGGCTGCTGGCAACCCTAAAACTGTCGTCGCCGTCGTGACTGACTCATCCACTGATTGGCTGAACAGATACATCCCGCCCCCACCTGACCAGGAAGAAGCTGTCAGTTGGACCACCCGTCCGGTACCCATGGCGTGTTTGGAGCTGGAGCCACCTGCCTACCTCTGTTTACACGTGTAGACAAACCTGCTATTGTGTCTCTGTCTGTTTCGTGTTGTTTCAACCATGTCTGTGGTCAGAACGAGTTTAAGACTGTTCGTGTTCGTCGCAGTCACCGTCCTGGCCATGCTGCTGCTGCGGCACTGGATGGCCACCAAGAATTACGTATTCAACAAAGAAGACGTCGCCAAATTGGCCAAACAGTACGCAGGTGAGTTTGGTAATGAGTAGTCTACGTCTAAATGAAGCCAAGACCATCCTGCAGTTAACTCAAACACAGTTTGAAGTAAAACGACACCTATGTAAGCAGCCGAGTGGTCACCCCCCCCGCCTTACTTACTGCCTAACTTACTGCATCAATAGGCCTGTTACTGTTCCTACTACTATAAATGTCTCTCTTCTCAGGACAGGACCATGAGCAGGCCTTCTCCAAAGTGGTGGTGGAGCTCAGGAAGAGGTAACAATTACATTTTGCTCAGAAATAACTTAAGACAGTTACTGGCAGGAAAATATTTGTACTGATCCATCAATCAAAATTATGATTGACTGGTAGTCTATCCACTTTCATTCCCACTCAGACTTGTGGTCTATTCAAACTGAGTGTTTAAAGCCACATGGCATGTTGTGTTGAAGAGCTGAGCCTGTTTCAACTGACAAAACGTACCTACTCTGCCTTGCAGATAGGACTGCAGCATTGTGCATTTTTTTTTCAATGAACCAAGTAATGATTTAGTCTAAAAGAAGGTGAATGATCATTCATCACTCACTTTCTGATGTGAACATGTACACATCAAAACAATACGCAAAAATACATCAAAATGTATATTAAAGTAAGATACCAAATAACCTAATTTAAGTGTATCAAAATAAACTACTGTATTTTTGTGTTTCAAAAATATGGAATCCCTTCAAAAATCTTTCTTCTATCAGCCTCTTCTGTCTATTCACCAGTACACTCAGCTGATTAAGTGGACAATGTTTGAGAGTACAATAAATCTGACAGGTAACAGATCAAATATTCACATAAACCTGTGATGACGGTTAGTTTTAAAGTAACCAACAATTTAATGTTTAACCAACAGTTTGCTCAACTCTGGAATGCATTGTTTATCGTGCACAACGAAATCTTAACTAATTAGTGGTCAATACGGGTTTTTCAGTGGCTGATGCCGAGATATATATAGATATATATATATATATATATGCTGAAATCAAAACAAAGTTGTGTGTAATTACATTATTCCATGCACATTACAATCTAATATACATGTATCACAGCACCAATCACAGGCAGTGTTTTACAGTATTGAAAAACTACAAAATATGGAGGCATTTTTAATCAGCTGTATAAAATAGAAATTGTTTTGTATCAAACATGTATTTTAAATAAATGTATCTTAAATACTGCCCATGAAGTCAGTAGATGAGGGTTTTTAGTTGTATTGTGCATTTAAAAACCAGCTAATGAAGTGTAACTGAACTAGGTATCCCGGCCACATCCTGCCAGACGAGGACCTGCAGTGGGTGTTTGTGAACGCCGGAGGTTGGATGGGCTCCATGTGTCTCCTACACGCCTCACTCACAGAGTACCTGCTGTTGTTTGGTACTGCAGTGGACACAGGAGGACACTCAGGTGAGGAGTGGAGGGGGTTGCAGTTCTGTACGTGTGTCGAGCTAGTGATTGTAAAGAGAAAAGAATCATCAAAATAACATGATTTTATAATGTCTGCACTCTTTCAGACATTATAAAATCATGTTATTTTGCGCTGCTGTCTCTCTGTCGTGCCACTTTGCTCTATAAGGAAAATCAGGCCCTACCTCGCTCAGTATGCCACCCAGCTTCTGGTACAAGCCATTGTTATCTTTCGCCTTGCAACGTCCTCCTACGGGTCTTCTAGCCTGTACGGTGAAACTCCTATAAATGGTTCAGAACACACCAGCACATCTTGTTTTTGATCAGCCCAAAAGGACACGTCACTCCATTACTGAGTGACCTCCACTGGCTACCCATGGCCTCCCGAATCAAATTGAAGTCACTAATGCTTGCATAGAGAGCTACTACTGGGTCTGCACCCATCTACCTAAACTCCATAATACAAGCTTACGTTCCTTCTCGGCCACTGCACTCCTCCAACGAACGCCGCCTGGCTCTGCCATCCCTTCACACAAAGCAATCTCAGTCCTGGCTGTTCTCATCTGTGACACCACGATGGTGGAACGAGCTACCACACGCCATCAGAGCAGGAGCGTCCCTCTCTAACTTCAAGAAGCTCTTGAAAACTCATCTCTTCTGAGAACACTTTCTCTTATGACACCTGTAACTCCTAACATCTAACATGCACTTCCTGTGCTCTTCTTCTTCTATCCCCTTACAGTTATCCTGTATTGATTGCACTTTTTTGTTAACTCTTACTTCTTTCCCTAGGTATTTACCCCATTGATGCAATATGTGCTATTAGCTCTTACTAGTATTTATTAGTGCTCTTACTAGTATTGTCAGTTGTAAACCAATACTTGGGAGTAGGGCTGAACGAAATGGGGGAAAATTTGTAATTGCGATTTTTCTGCCCTATATTGCGATTACGATTCGAATTGCAAATGAAGTTTTGCTAAAGTTCAATAGTCACTGCCAATATAATGCAGATGAACCAGGCAGGAAGTCGTAAACACCCTTTGGAGACACCCGATCGTACATCAACAATAAACACAGTTAAATAGACAAAAAAAAAGACACAATTTAACTACATAGCCTACTTAACCATGGTAGAAGCACAAAAATCAAGGACAACTGAACAAATAAGCAAAATCTGAACAAATCAGACAGGCAAAACGCTTTTATTCTGAAATGCTCCATGCGGATATGTAACGTAGCCTGCAGAGAGCGGAATGGAACCGGCAATCGATCGAATTGATTTGAAAACGATTAATCGTTCAACCCTACTTGGGAGCCTTTTCCTTGACACTTGTAATGGGGGTTCTTGGGATTTTGTGATCAATCTGTATTGGAAATGTAAAACTCTCTACTTCGATCAGGTCGTTACTGGGCTGAGATTTCTGACACCATCATATCCGGCACCTTCAGACAGTGGAAAGAGGGGACAACCAAGAGTGAGATATACTATCCTGGTAAATCCTGTTTTATTTGATTGTTGTTTATTTTGGTCTATCCTAAATGAATGTGGAAAACATATCTGAATGGCAGAAATGGGTAGTGTTCTTTTTTGTGTCTCTTCTCTTACTTCCAAATCTTTTATTCCCCAACAGGCGACACTATTGTACATGGTATAGGCGAGGCCACGTCTGTCCAGTGGAGTGCCGGGACATGGATGGTGGAGTACGGCCGGGGTTTCATCCCCTCCACGCTGGGATTCGCTCTGGCAGACACCTTCTTCAGCACCCAGGACTTCCTCACAATGTTTTACACCGTACGTGTCTACGCCAAGGGTTTGCTGCTCGAAGCTGGTACACTACTTACAGAGGCTGAAGTTTTCTGAGGCACTTTCAAAGCTTGGACGCCCACACGGGAACAATAACATCAAATGTTCGCCTTGTCATCACACACCATTTTACCCCTGAACACTAACATCTAGCAAAAAAAAATCTGTGCCAGATCATTTCAAGTTCAATTATCTTTACAGGGAATTGTAAACAATTACAATTTGAATTAGTACAGTTAATCACATCTACATTCAATTTTCCTCTGTACAAAATAAAGTGTTGAGTCCTTTTTCCCTTTACCAACACCAGTCCATTGACTCAAAGGCTGTACCACTCACTAAATTATGTAAAACTCAAGAACATGGCAATCTGAATCAAGCCCTAGACTGTCGGCCAGAGTCCCTCGCTCATAGCATCTTATTCTACACAATAAGCATTTCTCAGAGATCAAACTTCCTACTTAGTCAGTGAGGTAACACGTAACATAACAACAACAAAAAAAGTCAACCATATTTTTTTAGGATCTGGCTCAAAGAATTGAGCCCCAACGAGTTCTTCCACAAGTAGTTTCTACTTTTGCCAAATCAAAGATTCTCCTAGAAACAATAAGGCAACATTTGTAACCGGGCTTTTGAGTATTAAGCCTTGTAGCAACAAACCACTTTTAAAGTAAGTGTTGGTTATTAAACGCTGACGCTGTGATGTGAAAAGTGCTTGCTGACTATCAAATTTGGGGACCAAGGAATTACTTTTAAAACAAATATGCAATGCTGAATTAGGCTTGTAAAACAAACAACAAATATACAATGCAAAGCCACTATTTTCTTATTAAATACAGCAACTTCATATTTATATGCCTGTGGATTCTCTGTAAATGAGGGTGTTAAACCAGTCACAGAGACCAATGCCAAGAAGTGCACTTGCTCCAAAGATCAAGTGTCTTTTGGCTCCATTTTCTCATTCACACCCGATCTGTTTATACTATATATTTTTTGAAAATGTTGAAAACCTGAGGGGCTATATTAAAGAAAACTGCCTGGACTGTGTGTGTGTGTGTGCGCGCGCAGTGTCCCATTTTGGGCTCTGTATGAGTCATAGTCAGATCCATACCAGCTCAGAGACAGCAGTGTTTTAATCATTATAGTTACTCTGTTGTGGTGTCTGCTTCACTACTTCAGAGCCACTGTGTAGCAATGAATTTAAATTTTAATGGAGCAATTTTCACACTTTTTTTCTCACAACCATAACTTTTTTAGCTGTAATGTGTCCGGGTTCAATCCTTTCATCTGTCAAAACTTTGGTTTATAAAATCTAATCACGGTTGTAAGACATTTTCTAGTTTACCCCACATACTGTATGGTGCTGTTAAACCCTAACAGATATGAGTTAGAAATATGGGAGCCCTTTAAAATGTTTGTTCAAAATGGAAAGAAACAAAGATGTTCTGTACTTTAGTCATCTGCCGTGTTATACTGTAATTTTACATGTTACATTCATTTTCAAAAACTGCATCTTGAGTTTTATGAGCTTCAATGAAAATGTAACTAGCGATGCACTTGAACTACTTGGCTCCAGTGTCCTCCGTTCATTGTTAGGAACTTTACACTATCCCAACAGGGCAAAAAAACAAACACTAACCACAGGTATAAAATCAAAGCCTTTTGGAAAAGTTATTTGTGTATTTCACATTGAATTGTCTCTGCAGCTGAATCCACTATCCCGGAGTTTGTTCCTTTTCAGATAAAACAATCGTATTTTCAAACTGATACCTGATACCTGGTTTCTGTGGAATGAACTTCTACTGTATTATTACCTGAAACTGGAGTTATCTGATTTATATACAGCAGCATCAGTAGCAGTGTGGTGTCATGGATGGATGGCAAAATGACAAAATAAAGTATCACTGTACCTTAAATGTTGATGAGCAGATGTGCAATTTACTGTGGGGTAAAAATGAAAACTGACAGTGCCAGAAGAAATAAATGTTTTTGAAGGAAAGTGAGACAAGCCTGATTTATTACTACTATATACACATCAAGTAAATATCAGTCTCAAAGAACTCAGTGAGCCTTTATACAGCACCACTGGCATAAAGAGGCCAACTGCTACTACTGGACTATATGTAACCATAGTGATGTAAATTAGGCTGGATTCAGATACTTTATTAATCAAAAAGCATGTAATCACAGTACATATTGCATTTCACTGACCTATAATCCATCAGAGATGACTTTGTCCTGCACAACAAACAAAAATACACATCATGTGGTAAACAAGCTGAATGAAATCACAAAACTGACCTTATATAGTCTGGAGAGTTAATAAAAACAGAAATGAGGTTAGGGATTGCGGGCAGGTGGAGGGATGCTGCGTGAACAGGTGGTATTATTCAGAAAAACAGACCAGCAGAATAGAAGATAGACACATCTGTCCTCATCTCCGTCTGTAAATGTCAAGAGGATGCAGACAACCTGATTTGTTGTCATCGCATCCATAAAAGAGCTCTAGGTGATGATGATAGAAGCGTTGTGTATTTTATGTGGGCGTGTGTTCGCTTGTGCCTGCTTTTGTGTATGTGCACATGCATAGAGGTGAGTGTGTGAATGTGCATGCTCGTGTACACATTCAACATGTCATAGCACATGTGCATACTACGTGTTATGTGTGTGTTTAATACTGTTTATTATCCACTCTGTGGTGTTCCTTCCTCCCTGTCTATCTATCCATGTGTGTATGTGTGTTTTACCATATTATGCCAGATATAGATTTAATGTCAGCCTAACAGACTGGCCCGACCCCGCTGCCCTCCTCTTTAAGCCCTTTACAGGAGATGTATTCAGAATCGAAACCAGGCGACCAGAGCTGAAATACCAGCATGCCTAGGCAGTGACTGCACCTTAATGGGATTGATGACGGCTTCTTTGACTAATCGCTTTGTACCTTCAATGATGATAATGTCCCCCCACCACATGCAGGGAAAACAGATGTCCTTTAGGGGTGAACACACACAAACACACAGCAGAGTTACGGGTGCAAGTGGAAAGACATAAAAAGGATGGATACAGACAATACAAACTAATAAAAAACAAGGTTCACATTCACACTAGTAGAAAGCCAGTCTGAGTATGTTCATACACAAAGACTCGCGCAGATCTTTTGTGCAATTAGGCTTACATAAACAGGTGTCCCTTAAAATGAAACATCAGACAAAAGAAATAGATAGGACCCCTGTGTCTTCATTGCATCTTCACAGCTGCAATTTACTCTCAGCAAAGCACTTCCGTGCTCTCTAGTGGACATATTCAGTATCACATCATTTATTTTTGCATATAAATCTTTTTACAACATAAACATGAGGCTGAAGTAAATGAGGCTGAACTTTTCAACTGATGGCAATATCTGTGAGTGAAAGGAACTAAAACTGAAATATCATAACAAATGTGCTATTTACCCTTTAAATTTGGAGTTCTGTATGTAATATTCTGCATGGATGGAAAATATATGTGATTTGCAGGGAAAGTACAATAAAGTCAGAAAAAGGTTTCGTTTTTTTAATCAATTAAGAGTTAGCAGTTTTAATTAATTGTCACATAAGATTTTTTTTTTTAGACAATCTTAACCAGAGGTCCACTTACCTGACTTTCCAGAGTTTTCAAACACATGTAATCTCGAGTTCTTTGTTTCTTAAACACTTTTAAGCTACTAAATACAAGCTTACTATGATTACATAATGTTGGCAGTTATGTGGCATTGTCAGTGTTTAGCAGTATTTTCTTTGTTTGTATTCACACACACATACAGGAGTTACACCTGTATGTACGGCAGCCCAGAGGGCAAAGGATCATACCCACACAAACACCGCAAACAGACTTCAGAAACAACCGACGAACATCAGAAAACATTTTTCATTACGATGGAGCTTTCATACCAATCCATGAAAATCGCCCATCAAGCCCGGGAGGCGGTGAGTGAATAAGGGGTTTTGTCTTTTGTGTTTTCTAGCAGATTTGACGTACAAGGTTTGGCAAGCTAATAACTTTTAGCTTAGTAACGTTAGCAATTATGCATGGGAGAGGGGCATGTGAAGTTACCTCTGCTCATGGTCAAATTAACTGTCCCAGATGACAAAAAACTTTATACTGATGGTAATGTGTATCCAGGGCATGGTCAGTGTATTTTACACACGTTAGGCAAACAACAGCTAAGTTGTCTATTAAACGTTAAGCAGTTAGCCGTTGAGCTAATCAGGCTAGTTCTGCATTGATCCAGGGCAACAGTTAATCAGCGTCTGCTGGTTGCCTAGATACCCAGTCAGGCCATGGTCATTTGTCGGGATTTGTCGCCCTCTACTGGGATTTTGTCTCTCATATCAAATGTTTGGTTTAAACCAGGGAAGGAAACTGTACTAAAATACTACACTAACGTTACTATTACTGGACTTTAAACGTTTTTTAGTCGTCAAACACAGGTGTTATTATTAATATCATTAATGTGGACCGCGTGGTATTCAGGTGTGTGATGACTTACAGGACACCTAAAAAGTTAACTTAGCTGTTGTGGAACATAACTTAGCCATCATCAGTATTTGTTTTTCTATCTGTGCTTTTCCTGCTATTTCAAGTAGAAATGTGTGCTGTGAAAATGACCCTTTGAAAATACCGCTTACTGGTAAGTTATGTAACTTAGTTCGGAACAGTTAATTTACCGAGGTTAGGTTACCTACACGTCCTCATATAGAAACGGCAGACTGATGTCTCCAAAACGACATGTTTGAGCGTTTTCTGTTCCCTATTGCACAAAAGCGCTGCGGCCGACACACAATCAGGGTTTATGCACACACCCCTGTGATGGTTACGGTTAGAGTAAAGAGCTTCGGGGGCTGTCAAGGCTTTTAATAGGAACTTAACATAGTTAGCTAGCGCTAACGGTAGCTAACTTAATGCTACAAAATAAACGCTAACGATACACTAACAGTTAATTACACAACAAAAAAAACAACACAATTATTGCTAACAATAGCTAGCTAACGCTAAAAATAACGTTACTACTGTTTGACACAGGAAACGAACTCCTGTCTTGGGTGAAGGTCGCTTAAGTTAATCGTAATCATCAATGTGGTTTTGTGCTACATGAAAAAGCTTTTGAACAGAAGGCATTTTAACCATAGACTGGATATAAAAAGATTTTAACATGTCACACAATAGGAAAATCACTGTATTGGTTTCATGGTTCTGGTAATGTGCATTCTGGCTTGGTGTCACACAAGAACTGAGACATCAGAATAAAACTGAGCTAATGTTATTTGGAACATATGTGCTTGTAAAAAAAAAAAAAAAAGACCTAACGTTAATATAGCAACAAGAGTACTTGTTATTAGTTTATTTTTTCACCTACAGTCAAAACACAGATACCTTAGAAGGGGAGAGCAGGGTGAGTTCAGCCAGTTTTTACTTGAGGTGTTTTTAAAGTGAGGATATGGCAGTAATGTCTCCAACTGCAGTATGTACATATATTTTAGGATGTCGTGCAAAAATCAATTTGGATCTATGATGAACAGTTTTCAAAATATGGCTTTCCAAAAAAGTGGACTCAGCTTGCCCCATATGAGGAGTAAGTTGAGCCACATGGGTGTCGGGGGTCATCAATGTCATTTCATCGTGCTAACTCAAACGCAAGGTCCAAACATTTAATTGCACTTAGATAGTGAAACGTTGCAGCTATGAAATTACTATAAAATTACATCAAAATAGCTGGCTCAACTTCCCAGAGGTCTTTTGGCTCAAATTACCCCATCCTTGCTATTTTAACAAATTTGTGTCAGCCAGCAGTTTAAGGGTAACATCATGCTAACGGTACAGCCTTATATTGTAACTTTATAAAGCACTAACACATGCATAAGATTTTCTCAAACCTGTCTGTAATTGTTCAGATTACCAGAAGAATCCTTGAACATAAAAAAAAAAAATCACTTTGAACAGCAAAATACAGTTTTTGATCTCCAATGTGCTTATCACATATTCCATGGGCCTCTCTTCATCATAGGGTGAGGAAAATGGATGCATCTTCAAAAATGTGTGGTCAAATGACCAATTTTGTCTGTAGTTGCCGAGAAACGAGGGGTGGCTCAACTTCCCATCCATCCATCGTCAACCGCTTATCCTGTGTACAGGGTCGTGGGGGGCTGGAGCCAATCCCAGCTTACATCGGGCGAAAGGCGGGGTACACCCTGTACAGGTCGCCAGTCCATCGCAGGGCGGGTCAACTTCCCCACAGGCTCAAATCACCCCGCTCTCCCCTACCACACATGGAACTGAACATTTTATTGTTACTGTTATCATTAGTGCAACAGTTGTGTTTGAGGTGCTGAGTGTGCTTTGTGTTGCTGTCCAACAGGATGAGGTGAGGACTGAGATGAAGAAGAAGAGCCTCCTCATCCTCATTTACCAACACCTGTTGGCGCAAGGGTCAGTATGAAGTTGTGTGCTGGTACATATGTGTGACATGTCAAAAAACATTACATTACATAAAATCATTCAGATGGTCTTAGCTAGGTAACAGTAAAAGTGCAGGTTGGGTTTGTTTACCACACAAATGCATTTTTGAACAGCACAGCTGTTGATGACATGAAAGTTAAAGAACACAAATGCAATTAAAGCAAAGACATAATGAAAGAGAAACGAGTATGAAATACTTAAATTTATGGATTAATTTACAATTACTATCATACATGTTACTGAAGAAGCAGGTATGTGAGTAACAGCAGTATAAAAGCTGTGCCCATTTATATTAGGCCCATAGTAACACGCCTGCAGAAGGCCTTGTGTGTGTGTGTGTGTCTGTGTGTCCACGGAAAGGGTCTGAGTTTACTGGCTACATGCAATCCATCAACAAAAAACATTAAAAGTAAATCACATTGGACTCCCCAGGTTCATAGAGGCGGCAGTAGTTGCCCTTGTTACTTATCTTTCCAATGTGCGGGCATGTCTGTGAGTTCTCGTGTGTGTCCATTCGCCAGGTACATGGCTGCAGCAGTGGCCTTGGACCAGGAGACTAACGGAGGTGTGAGGAGGTTCGAGGTTTGTGATAACATCGATCTGGAGATGGTGCTGATGGAGTACGAGAGTTATCACTACGTCAAGTTCCAGAGGTATCCCAAACTTATCAGGAGAACAGCAGAACCAGGTATACGACCTCTGCTAAAACACTGAGCAGCATAGACATCATACCTCATGCTTAATGCTAAATTTTGAATTATTGGGATGTTCTCATTAAATCTCAATTATGTCAATAGAATATTTCTGTTTTTTTGTCAAGGTGAAAACAGACGTGCAAGAAGTGTTGGAGTAAAGAGGTGAGTCCCTCAATCTCACGCCTTCCTTTTTATTTCACAGAGCTTAATATGCTAACAATAAAAACAAAATGAGTAAAATACTCAAAAAACAACAGGAAATTAGTTTGAGCCAGTTTTTAAAAAATCTAATAATGATAGCTCTCCCAACTTGTTAGATGTCTTCTGTGCGTCTTTTTATCCCTCAGAAGTTCCTGTTCAGCTGTGAAGCCTCTTCCCAAAATCATCCCGTCCCCGAGGCCACAGTCCGGAAGCGGATCCAAGAGACCAGCTGCCAGTTCACAGACAAATGTACAACTTTAAATGCAAAACAACCAACATTTGAATATATTAAAATAAAAGGGGATTATTCTGACATCCTAATGACTATTTCATTTTCCAGGAGATCGGCTCTTCTGTCCCTCCGGAGTCGTCAGAGTTTGGTCTCAACGTTTCCTCCATCAGAAATGGACCAGCTGGGGAGGCAGCCATGAACAGAAAGGTACTGGGGCAGTGATTGTTGTTATTTATGGATGAAGGTGATTGATTTTTGTTGTTTTTTTTGAAGACATATTTCAGTTATTAGTAACCTTCCTCCTGTAAAACTAGAAATTAACAGCAAATCCCATCATCAGAATTTATGTGATGGTTTTACAGGAATGATCTCCAAACCATTACAATCTAAACCAGCACCTGCATGTTTTGGAGTAGACATTAACAGCAAAAATTCCAAGCCCCTCCATAAATACAAAGCATACACACAACCTGATTAATATGTTCACTCCCTTTTAATTTAAATTTAAAACCAAATCACTTCAGCCAGTTTTGTTGTTATGCCCATGTTCACCTAATGTGTAAAAATCTTGTATTGCCTGTTTTAGGGCCAGATGACTGACGGCAAAGGAGCTGGCAGTGACTCCGACCACATGGTAATTACATTGGAGCGTCTGAGCAACACCGTAGAAATAAAAATCCTTGTGATGAGCAGTTAATCCGGACTGTAAAACACATAAAATATAATTATTTCTTAAGACATTTGACATTTGGTGCAAAATACAATAGAGCAACATTAGTAAAACTACTAATAGTACTACACTACTACCAATAATTATGATTTTATGCTGTGTTGCAGGAAAGGCTGCTGAAGCCCCTCAGTGGCTTTTCTGGAATGAGCGGTGAGATGAGACAACTGGCTGCAATTATCAGCAGGGTACGACACCCACTAAGATACTATTCTGCAAACACTGACAAACAAGAAACAAACACACAGAGGAGATGATTTTAGCTTAACATGTGGCACAGAATTTGAAAATATGCTTGAAGTGATGGGATACCCAGTATGTCCACTAGAGAGCAGTAAAGATCTTTGTTGTGAATGAATTGATCTGTTGTATTAATGAAGGCCCAGGTTCTATCTATTTCCCTTATCGGATGTTTCATTCTAAAGGACACCTATTTACAAAAGCCTAATAGCTCCAGGATGTGTGTGCGTCCATTCTAACATTTCTTGACATCTTCCACATGCATTCACTCTGTGTGTGTATGTTCATCCCTAAAGGACATCTATTTGCACAGCCCCAATGTGCGGTGGGAGGACATCATCGGCCTGGAGGACGCAAAGCGATTAGTCAAAGAGGCCGTCGTCTATCCCATTAAGGTGCGGCCGCTGCCTGGGCATGCTGGTATTTCCGCTCCGGTCGCCGGACTTCGATTCTGAATACATCTCCTTTAAAGGGCTTAAAGACAAGGAGGGCAGTGGGGTCAGGCCAGTCTGTTAGGCTGACATTAAATCTATATGTGGCATAATATGGTAACACACATACACGCATAGATAGGCAAGGTGGAGGGAACACACACATGTAATGCCATGTCGAATTTATATACACAGCCACATTCACACTACTTTGCTGCTGCTGCATACAGAGATTGCACATATAAATAAAATCTGCCATACAAACACATTAGTAGAGGACACACACACTTCTATCATCATCACCTAGACCTCTCTCTCATGGATATGATGACAACAAATCAGGTTGTCTGCATCCTCTTGACATTTACAGACAGAGATGAGGACTGATGTGTCCATCTTCTATTCTGCTGGCCTGTTTTATTGAATAACGCCGTACATCCACCTTCCCACAATCCCCAACTTCTGTCTCCATTATTATTCATTCTTTGGGGAATAAGGTCAGTTTGGTGATTTCACTCAGCCTCTGTTTGCCACCTACAATTCAGACAAATTTGTAGTGTGTGGTATTTGCAGAACCAACGCAGCTATACATCACGCAAATCAGGTTTTCTTTGTACACAGCTCAGCTCCTGATTGGTCTGCAGAAAATGGAAATGCATGTTTTATTGCCTGTAAAATATAAAATATTCTCATATTGAAATATATTGCGATTTACTTCATATTTTACTTCTCTGTCTTTACAGTACCCCCAGCTGTTCACAGGCATCCTGTCTCCGTGGAAGGGCTTGCTGCTTTATGGCCCTCCAGGTAACACCTGCACTGGTGTAAACCTTCGCCATATTCGCTGATGACAGAAAAACATGTTGTTTGCTTAATCAGTGGACTACTTTAAAGAGTTTTACATTTCAGAATTCTTCCTGACATGGACTCATGATCATGTGACTCACACGCATAGGTACAGGTAAGACCCTGCTGGCCAAGGCCGTGGCTACAGAGTGTAAGACGACCTTCTTCAACATCTCAGCCTCCAGCATCGTCAGCAAATGGAGAGGAGACTCTGAGAAACTGGTCAGGGTAGGTTATTCTTCAACGCACACAACAATTTAAATGCAACAAATACAAAAAAAAAAAAACACAGTCTCCTATACTTGGCATTTCTTATGAATCTATCTTTATACTGTATCTGCAGGTTCTATTTGAGCTGGCCAGGTACCACGCCCCATCCACCATCTTCCTGGATGAGCTGGAGTCGGTGATGAGCCAGAGAGGAACCAGCATGGGGTGAGCTGAACCACAATGTGTGGTAAATGGAAATGTTTTGTCCCATTGCTGAAGGTTAGCGATTCTTTCCCCGCAATAGCAAATGTGTCTGGCACATGGCTTTAGACGCCTAGAAATTGTGAACCCATGATAGTTATGTTTTACATTATATATTTGACATCATACATTTGTACAAAATATATAATTAAAACATTAGTTAATTTATATTACTAAAGGTCAGAAGACAGATGAGTATTTTTATGAATGATTAATTCATGAAAAAAAAAAAACGTGAAGTCAAAACTGTACTAAAATAGTTTTGATCCAAATCCTCATGTATAATAAAAAGAACTAATACTGTAATTGTGAAACCAAGAAAAGCAAAATGATCACTTTAGCCTAATTATGAAGCTCTTTATTAAACTATGAAAACCAACGGGCAGAACACTGTACAGAGACTGACCAGCTCAACCCTATAGTTACTATTTACTCATGTCACGAGCAGTGTGGTGGTGAATAAAAACTTGATGTGACAGCAGACTGTTTTCAGGGGAGAGCATGAGGGGAGTCGCAGGATGAAGACTGAGCTGCTGGTTCAGATGGACGGACTGGCGAGATCAGAGGACCTGGTGTTTGTACTGGCTGCCTCCAACCTGCCTTGGTAACGGCATAAACACACCCCAACTGAATTTTATCTTATGTAATGAAAAACAAAAAAACAATACACAAGAGGAACTAAATGCATTATTTTACCGAATGCCACAAAAGCAAGGGACAACTTTTTACATGTCAACAATGAAATTGCATAGAGGAAAAATCTGAATAATTCGGGGACTCTTAAGTGAACGAGAAATGAACTGCTGTGCACAGATTTGAACTGTTCCTGTTCTCAGGGAACTGGACCATGCCATGCTGAGGAGGTTAGAGAAGAGGATTCTAGTCAGTCTTCCCACTTCGCCAGCTCGCCAGGCCATGATCTCTCACTGGCTGCCCCCTCTTAACTCCACAGGAGGGGTGGAGCTACGAACTGAGCTGGACTATGAAACGCTGGCGAAGGTGTGTTACAGTAAGACTTGTAACAAAAGTTTAATCAGTTATCTATGGCACATTTTCTTGTGCCATTTATATATTAATAACTGCCATGTTTGGGATTAAATAAAAATGAGTTTTGCTGTTTGGGAAAAATAATGTGTTAACTCATGCACTGCCCATCATGCATGTTTGTACTCTGTTAGCTCTTCTCAGTAGCAACGATCACAACACAGTGCCCATCAGCTAGGCCTTATCTGCCTGTTTGTGTGTGTGTGTGTTTCAGGAGATGGAGGGTTACTCTGGCTCTGATATAACACTGGTGTGTAAGGAGGCTGCCATGAGACCAGTCCGCAAGATCTTTGATGCTCTGGAGTCACATCAGGACGGTAGGACAACACACACACTCACACACAGAGGTCTAGTGCTATAACAACTTGCAACCGCACAAAAATCCCCTCACTGGGATTCTCCTTCACAGGAGACGATGACATGCCTGCCATCCAGCTGGAAACTGTGACCACAGCTGACTTCCTGGAAGTCCTCGCGCACACCAAACCCTCGGCACGAAACCTGATGGACAGATACACAGCCTGGGAGAGAGAGTACGAGTCTGTCTGACACAAAGGTGCACATTTTAACATGAGCATTGTTTTTGGCCCTCAAGTGAACTTTGGGGAAGAAAAACATAAATAAAATACTGAAATAATGTGCAAATACAACCCTCCTAAACAAGTACCTGAAAGCTTTGATATTCTGAGCCAGTGCTACTGTTTTTTAAAGCAGTCTTTTTGTTTATCTGTTCAATGATCATAAGTACAATGAAATAATAAACAACAGTTACCAGCTGCATTTTTTTAAATTCAAACTTTATACATTATGATATAATGACAAAACTTTTGTTATCATGTGCAACAGATGGTTGGTACTTTTGAAATGCATGCTATTACTTTTAAACATTTTGGAGAGAGAAGTCTTACATCAAATGGACGTTTTGATTACAGATCAATCAGTCACACTTATGAGGATTACGGAATTGTTATTTTTCCTTATTCAGGCTGAGGGGATGAGTAGAATAATTAAGGATGTCTAGGATGAGGGGAATAATTTAATCATTTCTTTCCCTCCAGTGTTAAAACAACTACCGAAAAAGAGCAAAAGAAAGATTCTGTTACTTATAGCAGGTTGTTCAGGATGTGTTCGACAGCATCTGGGAAACTGTCACATGTCAGGTGGGGAGGAGGGTTGATTTTATTCTCATCTCCTTCTCTGTATTTACCTGCAAGATGACCGGAGAGAAGGTGGAATATCATCAACCACAAAAACAACAACAATCACCACTGGATGGATAAGTATTCTGTAGCTAATGAGGTAAGATCCAAGGGACAATACCACGGTACACAGGCTATTATGAAGACATTGAGGATGAGGAAGAAATATAGAATCTAGTCACTGTGCAACAGTCAGTTGCTGTTAGTTACGTTTAGGCAGAGATGGGAGAAGGAAGAAGTGTAAGTCTTTTTTTTTTTTTCTTACCAGTTCTGACTAAAATTCCCAAAATTCCTGTGTTCTGAGCCCCGCCCACATCATCTCTGGCGTCCTGTGGGAAAACAGCAACGAGACACAGACTGAAGTTTTCTACCGGCTGATTAATATTTGTATCAAACAGTGAACATTGAGTTATGTTCTAAAACAACTGTCAGTAAACACTGTGTGAAGATCTCAGGTTTGAGGCCTGTTCATAGAAATGAGCCTATTCTTGCAAGTCTCTCTGCTAAATGTTGAAAATGTACTTAATAAACGTGCTGTCAAGGAATCTCAATTGATCATATACTTACATCTCCTATCATGACAGCTTCTACTGGGCTGCATCCTAAATCAGACAGAGCCTATGTGAAGGAAACAACCAATAAATAAATATATAAGCATATCATGAGTTTAGAACCTTCTTTTTTCTAACGAGTTAAAAGATGGAAACGTGTAAAAATATAATTTTTCAACCTGTGTGAAAAAAGTCTCTTCTGGTTTTCCCACCACAGTAGCTTTACAGTCTGTTGCGTACTCAAGACCTGTCACAAAGGGCCCGGGGCCGAGGGCCAAACCATCCTTACGTTTGTAGTACCGGGCTTTATGGATGGCGATGAGAGGCGCTCCATCCAGAATCATTCTGTCCAGAAATATACACGATTAACACGTCAAAAAGCAAGATTAATAAAAGGCAGACAAATGATTTACACCCTCATTTTAAAGAAATTAAAGCACAGTAAGAGAAATCAAAAAATGTAAAACTTGTTTTTTTTCACACCAGCTAGGAAAAACTAGACTACTTCATCTTCGTCTCAATAACTGGAACTCAAATGTTGTGTGAGTCACTGAAGAATGTGTCCTGTGAATGAGCTGACCACCTGAAAGCCTTGTTGAGTGTTTGGTAGTTGAAGTGATCAGGAGCGAGTCCCACGACGACAGCGTTTGGCTCTGACGTGTCAATACCTGGAAAAAGACAGACAGCAGGATTAGTCAGTCAGTATTAATGTTGATCATTTCTTTTACTTTAGCAAGCCATTTACTGAGTACAAACAACTACAGAGTCACACTCACAAAGAATTTCTGTTTTTAGTCTCATCATTTTAAATTGATTCCTTTAGGCTTTTCCAGTGTTGGTCACAATAAGAGAACACAGTGGGCTCTAATTCTGTCATTTGTCACTATTTTTGGCCATTTACAAACTAAAAGGTTAAACGATAAATTGAATGTAATGGTATAGATTATTCAGCAAGGCAAAGCTTAAAAAAATAGTTTTCAGCTGATAGCAGCCATATGCTGAGTGATGAACACTAAGTCAATAATAATATCTAAAGTGTGATTCTTCATTTTCAGGTTGTTTGATTTGATTGCTGAAACAAAAAGGTTCAAAACAAATAAAAATGGGTAAAAAAAATCAATATAGTTCATTCTCCAGCTGAAGCGTGGTCTCTTTCTGTCTCACACACACACACACGTTTACACACACTCACAGCTCAGTACCAGTGAAGTCTTCCAGTGCGCTGTCCTCCACCAGCAGCAGAGGCCTGTGTTGCTTCTGCTCTAACAAACTCCTCGCTGCACTCAGAGAAGTGAAGATCTCTTTTTCCTGCAGAGTAACGTTCATTTTCAAAAACAAAGCCAGGGAAAAATGCGCCACTCCAGAGGTCAAAAATAGAATTAATAAATCACATGAGGTGATTATTTTGCTGTTTGCTGTAACCCTTTTCCTGACTTTGTTTTTGGAAAATTTGGGACATTGCTGTTTGCAGAGCACCCAACTGACACCGACCTCTTATTTATTTCTTTAACATTACAGTAATATGCCTTTGGATGTTTTACCTGGACGTCAAAGTTGAGACGTTGCAGTCGTTCCAGTAAGTTCCTCTTGCTCTCCTTTGTTGTGTTGGTCACAAACTTTACAGCAACAGACGCCTGCCGTAACCTGACCGCAACAAAACATAGTGCAATTAAAATTTACAATTCGTATGCATCTATAATAACAAAATGAATGATGTAATAATCCAACATATGTGTACTTCACAAGACTGGCTGACTCCTACCTGTTCAGGGCGTCCTGCGCCCCGGGCACCGCTGTGTCTTCTATATGCAGAGTTCCACTCAGGTCAATGAGCACGGCCTTCAGAGCCCGTCTGCCCGCCATGCTGGAGACCTGCAGGGGAGGATGTGGAGAACGTGACCCGAGGTTGGGAATATGTTTTAGAGCTTGTAGAGATGCAGTGGCACATGGACATGGACCCACATTTCCTCCTTATGATCTGATTAGTGCAAGTGTACTTTCGCTTACTTTGAACATGAAAGAGTTTCAGTCCCTCACCAAAAACCTGCAGCCACTAAGTACGCTGTTAGACAAGAGCTGCTTGGAGTGTAGTCTCTGATTATGATCTTCTAAACTGCTATGGTCCACTGTAAACGGAGCTTTACTCAGTTTAAAAAAGCTTATTCTTTCATAATAATGTTGTTATTTTAGAGATTATGCATTCATAATCATAATTCACATTGGCAGTGGTAGAATTTAGCAGATTACTGCGTTGTTCAAACCTGCATCAGGACAAACTGAGAGGATTATTGACTGGTTTGTCCCCAGAATTTATGACTTTCTGCCTAGAATACAGATTTTGGGGATTGTATTTTATTGCTGCTTGACTATGTGATCCCCTATTATTTAGACATGCTTGGATTTCTGTCATGTAGTTATCAATGTGAGGGTACAATTAATCCTTTTAATACCCACCCAAAATAGCTTAAATACACGCATGTATATATTATTTGTACTTAGCTTAACCAATAAAAGGAAACGGTGTTGTCAGGAAAGTGCCAAGCTGAGAAAAAGCCTGTGAGTGAGTGAGTGAGGTGTTTAAGGGAAATCGGGGCTGTAACAACAACAATCCAGGCATATCTGTGGTTTTGTTTTTTTCTACGTGATTTTATTGTTCTTTATATGACTTTTCTATTTATTAATAGTCACTGTTAAGCGCATGGCTTTGGTGCTGGAAACCCGGGTCCTCTCTGACATAAATAGCAACTGTAAGTCGCGTCAGCTAAATGAATAAATGTGATGTTAATGTAAAAATATACATTTGTTTCTGTCTGATGTACTGGTGAAGACACAAAAGCACAGCATCTTAGGTTATAGGCCTTTTCCCAGCAAACATATTGTGTGGCAGCAGCATGAGCACAGGTGTAACCAGTAACAGTAACAATGGCTTCATTCCACTTAAGTGCCCCAGTAAGCCATGATAGTTAGCCAGTATGCCTACTTGCACTGGACCTGGCACACCTATGCAGCCATTGTTACTGTCATTAATGACACATTTCCTAGTCACAAACGTCTGCTGTGAAAGAAGGTGGTTGGTTGTTTTAAGGATTTTAAGATTTCATTTAAGGGGGCAAATTAAGAGTCGACGAAGAGTAGGCTACTGGTGTTGTTGTACTTTTAATTCCCATCTCCTAGCCTATTTAGTATCATTACTTTAGGTCTACAATAACCCTGTCATATTTATATATATAAATACATATAAACCTTCATTTTAAACATCACTGTTTGACCTGCATGGATGCTAACTTACTGTAATTAAGCTAAAGTGCCATTCGTTTATCTGAACATTGAGCGACTTCATTACTGACACGAAACATTGCGGTTTTAATTCACAAAAATGACACAAAACCTAAATAAAGTTTATATGGTGAGAATGTCAGCAAACTGCACACCTAACCTTTAGCATCAGCAGCTCCTCTTCCTGTTGACGTTTTCTTCTTCACTGGGTTAAAGTGGGTTTTATTCTCTGTGAGCTCAGTGCTGCCCCCTGCAGCTCAATGACGTCTCAAATGTTCCTGCTCTCTTTCAAATCATTGTTTAAACATTAAATTGTGTTTTTTTTTTCCTTTTTCTGAAAAACATTGTTTAATATCACCCTCTCTTTTTGATATCACTCTCTATCTTCTCACTGTTATTATTTTGTATATGTCAATCAAATCAACAAATATACATATACAGTCTAAGAGGGTTACCCTTAACCACTTAATCACTCATTAGAATAATAAAGAAAAACATATGTGTCCCATCCCACTAACAACCAACAGATGTATCACATTAGTGGGTCTTTTAGGGCATTCAGATAGATTTAATATGGTGGGAGGTATTATCAAAACGACAAAATCCTTCTCTCTGCACGATGCCAGACAGCACTGGTCAAATCCTCTTTTCGTATGCCTCCAGTGAATAACACTGTTTCACAATGTTGTTATTTAGTTTTCAGTTTTTGTTTTTGCATAATGTTTTGCAGCTCATAGATGTGAAAAACACAGAACTAATCCCACACTGTAATGTCTTTGTCCGGACGAAATATCGACATCAGTACCATTTTTAAAATCCAAACACCACTTGATTTTATGTAATGTTTTGTTCCAGATTTTATTTGTTTTTATTTCTTTTACTAACCTCTTACTTTTTGTGTGTTTCCCTCTTTTTGTTTTAAATTGGTCCTTCCTATTCTTACTTTCCTATTGTGTGTTTATTTGTCCAGCTGAGTTAGTTCATTTGGAGTTAAAGTCCATCAGGTTTAAGTCCTCAACTGCTGTGATATTTGTCTCCTTTGCACATTTGTGTTAGTAAATAAATGCACTGAAAATTAAATAGATTTAAATGTGATTTTTTCATTGTAATAAAAAACTGTAACTAGCAGCTATTTATATTTATCCCTATTGCTCGGATGGACAGACTTTTGGAGTGAGCAGTGGAGCTTTTTAAAATTTTTTATTTTATAGATATATAGAAATGAAAAATCTAAACAACTGAAATGAAAAGGAATGGAAAAGCTGCTTTACGTCACCTAACCTGTCACAGTACATTCATTTGACTTACGATTGAGAACACACATCCTGACCTGTGAAGTGCAGATACATATTCACGTACAGCCGCCTGTGATCGCTTACAGATTATACTATAAACCCACGGCTGAACTCCGGCTAATCACAGATCAAAGTGGCTTTACAGTGCAAATCTCCCTGATAAACATACGCTTCTAATTCCAGCAGATCCCCTTTTCCTGCTCACTCCCCCCTTGCAGGTATTTAGAATCGAAACTGCAGTAGTGTTAATAAAAAATGTTTGTGGAGCTTAGTGGGGGAGGAAATGGTTATAATGTACAACATATGGGGATTATTAATGAAGTGGAGCAGGGATAGATGGACAATTACGGAGTCGAGAGAAATATGTTAATACTTAAACAGAGCAGACGAGATACTGCAGCATCATACTCGAGTGATACTTGATACACTGATTTTTCACAATTTTCTGACATTTATAGACTAAACAACAAATCAATTAATCGAGAAAATAATCGACAGATTAATCAACAATGAAAATAAGCAGTAGTTGTAGCCCTAAACCCACAGCTGTAAAATGGACTCCCGTAACAGTAAGGCTTTGAAATGTACTATACGTAAACTGACTTCCTTCCAGACTACAGCTGAAACATTTCATAATAAATAGCGGGTCTGTTCCAGGTATTACTCCATTGCTGTACTTTGACTTCAAAAATGTGGGTTGCGAAAAATGTAAATTCTGTAGTTATGTGAACTAAATTTAGTGATCTACCTTCAGCTCCGAAGTCAGAAGTGACAGGGATTATATGCTCACTGACTTGAAACCAAACTTTTATCTTTGTTACTTTGTCTTTGTTGTTTTGAAAAAAGAAGACTAAGACAATAAAAAGAATGTCATTAAAATGACTAATACATTTATTTCAAGACAACAAACCACCTCAACACTGTCACAATGATGCCTGTGACTCTGAGAGGGTATTGATGTGTAAACGGTACAAAGTTACATTTGTTAAGAGTTGTGTTTGGCGACATAGCTTACATTTTAATTACACACATTTAACCAAATTCTTCCAGAGGGATAAGTCAAAGAGCATTTTTACACGTCAATAGGAAAAGATAATGAAGAATGACAATCGTGTGGAGCAAAAAAGGTATACCTATAGCCCTGGATACAAATGTAATAACACATAACAAATATTTACATATTTCCCAGCGCTACTGCTATAAGTTTCTCATTTGTGAAAATATGCTAAAACATATGACACAAATCATTGAAACGCATTCCTCTCACTGTGTCCTGAATAACATGTGATGAAAGCGAGGACAGACACCCTCTGCAGCGCAAAAGAAAACGTTTTGTATGACTAGAAAATTGTCCTTTTGCTGTCACACTGGCGAGCAGGTTAGAAAGGCCACAGCAGCCATATTTTCAACCAGGAGATGCATCAATTCTTCTACTCTTTGGATGTGAAGGTCTGCCAGTTGATTTGAATGTTTCTCTATTCCCACACCAGCCCCATGGGAAAACTTTTCCACCCTGCTGATGACTGATAAAGGCAGAAGTCTCTGAATGACAGATATTTCTGTGTGTGTATGTTTGTTCCTTGGCACGTCTGGTCCTCTGGCTTCATTTTGGCTCTCGGTGTACTGCTGTCAACCAAACAGTAACAACAGGACGATGCAGGCCGTATTCACTATTATTAAAGGCACTGTGAACAAAAAAGGAACAAAAAGTAAACAAACTGTAAAATCCTCAGCCCCTCTTCACTTTTTCTGTGACAGAGACTTGTATGTACTGAAGTACTGAAGGTTTTGCTAAGCTTGTGTATTCTATCTGATATATCTGATTAGATATACTTTATAGATATAGATATACTACTTTGCGGATTTTTTACTGTATTTTATTTATGAAAAAGGTCTAGTGTGGCTGCATTGTGTGCAGACAAAAGTAAACACAGATGCATGTGAGAAGTTTGGTTTGTTTTTTATTAAAAAAGAGTTTTTAAAGAAAAACATTTTACCCCCTGTGAGGTAACGTATTGAAAAAAAGTAGCCTACAGTTTTGGTAAATGTACCAAAAACTCAACCATTCATTGGCATCAGAGTCTGAACATTTCAAAGGATATTCTGCTACTAAATATGAAATTCACTCAACATTTCCTTCGATATTTTTTCTTTCTAGGGACATAAGGAAACTAGTTTCCAACCTCTCATGACAGTCCGTACTGAGCGGATGAGATTGAGAACCTGGGCTTTGACTCCTGGATCATCCCCAAAACCTCCAACTCCTTGGTCAACACCCCAGCCGACTGGAGACAGAGAGGGAAGGAGGTAGAAAATATACGTTGTTTCAAAAATATAAAAAGCAAAAATGATTTGTTAAGAGGATAAAAGAAACCATGACAGTAAGTGTAACGTTATTTATTTATTTAACCCTTTCACATCCAGTTTCCGTTTAGTAGCTTTCTGATTGGAAAACTGATCTTATTCCAAACTGAACATTTCTCTCTAATGAAGGAACCAGAATTTTCTCCCTAAAATTCTCAACATGAGAGTCAGTGTCGCACAGGCAGCTAATACTGGTGCAGTAACGTTACACACCTAGCTAGCTGCATTAGCTTGATATAACGTTACACCGTTGTTTCGATAAAATGCCTGATGATGTACGTTGAAAATAAATATGGCAGAAGACTTACTTTTGCTGAGAAACCTCTCCTCGTGCAACACAGCGATGGCATTAGTGCACAGAATAGCAGTCTGAATGAGAGAGTACAGTGTAAACGCCATGCTGGCAACTTCTTCTTCTCCTCCTCCTTCGTCCACCGGAGAGGCAGATGCCGTAAACAGGCAGCTGAGGTCGTGCAGCAGAAGAAAAGGATGTCCCTACGTTTGTTTGCTTCAAAGCGCTCTCTGGAGCGCTTATTTTAAGTTACTTATATAAAAAACAGAGTTTATTATTTCCTAAAAAGAGAAAGGAAAGTTTAATTTAGAAAAATTTAAAATAAGATAATAAAAAAGCATAAATGTATTTCAATTTAGGAAAAACATTTTCCTTTTTTTCTCTTTGGGAACTTTGATAAAGCCATAATCACAATAATTATGTTATGGTCATGTCTAATATTTTCATATTCTTATCATTGTCAGCTGACCTGTGCTGCTGTTTGTGAGTCTTTTATTTCATTTGTATGTGCTATATATGTATTTTTATTTAACCAGTTGACACATTTTTTATTTCTGCAGGCTACTTAATTTGGGAGGAGGTCCATCCTATAAGCCTATGACTTATTGAGCTCTACTGTCACGGTTGTTTCCCTTTTGTTAGGCAAATCTGTTTTTATTCCGGTGAAATGAAAAATTTAAATCACTTATTACCAATACTTTTGCACTGTGACATTTCTTCATTGATCTTTCCTTCAGAAGCAACTAAGATGTGTAGCTCACTCAACTCTTGGTTGTAAAGGTAGCTTGTTCACCATCAGTGGTGGGTTTTAGGTACATTTTTCATCTGAGAGACTGAGAGTGTTTGAGTTGCAACTTGGTCTTTAAAATGCTCAAATTGACAAAGTGAGCTGTGTTTTTGTACCTCAGTTCACACAAAGGAGAGCTAAAGGAACCCTATTTTTGTTTCAAGAACATCAAATGATCAAAACTGTAAATTATGCCATACAAACATTGGCTAAGACCAAATCATGAAACAACATTCTCATTATTGTATAGACTTTTAATTTACACATAAATAGTAGAGAAACTACAAGAACATATTTAAATACATCTGCATTAATGGTTTATAATGATAACATTTCTCTCAGTAAATGACAACTGTGTCCATTCATTCATTTCATTCTATAAACAAGGTGGGCGAGTGTGATACACTTGACTGTACCATCATCATCATCATCATCATCATCATCATCATCATCATCATGTCTCGTTCTTTTTCTTTTAACATTATGATAAATAATACTTTCACAATCAGGTTCTTAGGCCCTGATATTCAAATAAATAAATAAATAAATAAACAAACACGTATAGATAGACTGACAGGTTTTCTCACGTGTGACATTTTATACAGTCAGGTGAAATCATTTACAGGTAGATATACAACACTGGCAATCATCAGTCTTTTGCTCCTCGTAGCCCAGACTCTCATTAGGAGAACAAACAAGTAGATGGAATTGGCCTTTAAATTTGTATTCACCATCTGATGACACCCCAAACATGTTTAGCTGATGGTGGTAATACTACCTTCAACTCTGGGTGGAATCAGGTGAATTTTGGGTGAAAGGTAAAAAGTACCTTCAGGGTGCCTTTCAGCAAAGCGTTCTTCAGCTGCTCAATATATGCTCAGAAATTAACAGCAGAAATAGTTTCTTAATGATATACTGTAGGTGTGACACAGGATGGTGTTTTCAGGTGCCTTTTCCTCTATAAATAAAAGGTGAAAAAGATTTGATCAGATGCACCAACGTCTGCATTGAACATAACACTGTGTTTTTCTTTTGAACATTCAGAAATCTCTCGCAAATATTACAGGTACAAACTGTGCAGTTTCCATAAAGTGTGATACCACCCTGTATAAATACTGCTCTAATTGCATGATTAGGTTTAAAACCCAAACCACCAATACTTCCTTAATTTTCTCCATTGTTTTTTGTTCTTCATCTGGCATATTCAAGTTAGGGACCAAACATGGGTGCATCAAGTCACCGCCAACATCTGACCTCGTGTTCACAATCTGTGTACACAGGGAAGTTTGTTTTGGTCAATAAACACAACTGGACATGATGAGGAGAATGTTGCCAATAAATAAAGGTTGGTATGTTTGTTTCTCTTTAGCAACAACAGTAACAGCAACAATCTTAATGTGAAGTCTGTTCTCATCCACAGTTTGGTGTATGTACAGTTGGGCCAGCAGCAGTCCGAGTGATGGACAATAACACCCAGTCTTTCTGTATATATGACTCTCTTCTCTTAATCTCTTCATCTTTTAAGAGCTCGGAAAAGTTCTGAGTTTTCTGACAAAGTCTATAACTGCCTTCCTGGTGGTCTTCAGCAGTCCTAAAATTCACAAAAGACAAGAAAGGTTGCTGCTACTTTGGTCTTGTTGGATAAAGCTTTGAGTCTGACTGCCAGCGCAGCAATGAGAAGAGAGCTGGAGTCCTTCTGTATACCCTGATGTCGTCCAGTTTGTTCCCCAATTCCAGTTCAGTCAGTTTGGAAAATAAACTGGACCCAGGGAAAAGGAAACAGGGATGACACTTTTACCAGCAGGCTACCAGACGGCAGAGCAGTTGGTCCAAATGTGTTCTTACCAGACAGTGTTTAAGTACGAGAAAGAATTGCTGTCCCAGGAAAAGTTATGAAGCTATTGTGACTGTTTTTTTTTCAATCATTCTTGGGGCATTCACAGAAATCCAGGCATATTCTTCCTCTAGGGATGGGATTTTCTCGGCCTGTGAAGATAATAAAGACATAAAAACCCAACATTAGCGCCATGATGTGGTTTAGTGTTTTTCATAGACAGATAGGTCTTAATCATTTTAGTACGTCACAATGGGAGACTGGTGTTAGCTGGGCCAGGATAACAAACTGAAAGCAAGTTCAATGGCAAAAAGCAGTTCACCATTTGCCATTAAATCACCACCAGATAAAACCAGTTTAATCTGCGGATACTGTATGTTTAGCCCTGGTCTGGCTGTAAATAGTCAAAGCTTCCACAAAATGTCCAGTAAAAAAAATATCTATTTAAAAGCAATTGAACTGGGCTGATTTGTGTTATAAATGATTAAATGTTTACATCCTCATGTGTAAACTACTGATGTTGTCATATTTCTATTCTAGCTGATTAATTTAATTGATGAAAAAACAGTCACCTTTTCGCTACTTGTTGAGATGGGAGCTGATTTTTTCTTTTCTGATGATGTTTGCGTAGGGAATCTGAAAAAAACAAAGGTTAGAGACACATGTTAGATTAATCCTGAGCAGAGAGGATTTGGATACATATGTGTATATCTTTATATATGCTGTACAGTACAGTAAATGTTACAGCAATTGTTTATTTTACCTTTTTAGAGTTTTAAAATAATGTTTTATGGGAGGATTGATAATATTATTTTGTCCCAAAATAAATGGCTCAAAAACACATTTGGCCTATTTGTGAAACAAGTTCCTGTAAATAATGTTAAAATGCCATTACACTAAAATATGAAATTATAAATTCTGGGCAAGACGTGTAAAATTAGGTGGAGTTCATTTGAATATCTGTGTGAAATGAATGTGTCATTACTCTCAGACAGATCCATCTGCTGGTTCGCGACACATTTGTCAATTTGGAATGTTTTAAGCGTGCTTATAAATCAGCTCGAATGCCTGTGCAGTCGTCTGCCTTTGTGGTTACATGAATGCAGCATGCTCTTGCATGTGCTTTGGTGTACGTGCAGGGTTTGCGATCATGTGCATACGAGCGTGTACAGTTGTTGCATGTGTCAGAAAGCAAAGACAAACACCGTCTGTCAGCCTGTCTGCCAGCTGCTCCGGTGATTGATGTTGACGGAAACACTCAGACGGCTGCAGAGGAACTTGTCACCCATGAAAGACAAACTAAATGATTGGCTATTTCTTTTGATGGACAAATAACCAAGAGCAGAGGTGTCTGGTTAAGTCCTATTGATTTATTTGTTCATTTAATTTCTGTTTAATTTTAGGACGTGGGTCAGGATTTCATATTTATGTCTACAGTCTACTGTAGTTGTAGTGTTAACTGAGTTGTTATTGTCACTTTTCCTCATTCATTTTTGATTTCTTCTTTTCCTGTTCAAACTATGTAACTATATTTTATTAAAATGTGCTTCATAATTAGTCTTAATTATATTCCTTCTCAAAATCATTACTGTAAATGCATTTTAAAGCGAAAAGTCAGGCTTTTTAAAATTCATATATCTATAAAAGGATGCTTTATTTGTCATTTAAAGGCGTAGCAATGCTATTTATTTTCCATCAGTGCTCAGCACTGATTGTATCATTAGTAGTCTTACCATCTGTAACTGTTGGACCATCTCTTCTCTGTAGGCGAGCTCTCGTTTCATCTGGTCTTGGAAATTATCTGAAATTAGCGTAAAAATGTATGATTAGCCTGAGAAGTGTTTCATTTGATTAAGTACAGTTATAAAAGACAGCTGATGAAAGATGAAGGAGACTTGAACCAACCACGAGAACAGGGCTAAGAGAAAGGTAAAGGGGGGAAACAGGTACAGAGGAGAAAATGGAAACAAACTTAAGAAAGACAGAGAAGTGAAGAAAAAATTACTTACGGAAGACAGGAAATGGCGAGGTGCCCTTCAGAGCATGAAACTCCTGCTCCAGCCTCCTCCTGAAGTCGATCTGCTCTAGCAGAACCTTCTGGAGCTCCTCTGCAGGAAGAGAAGGAAGACATTTGGAAATAAGAGGGAAAGAAAGAGAAGACTGTCTGTTAGAAATGAGTGCAGTACAATATATCTCTCTATCTGTGGTGCTTTGATTCCTCTAGTTATAATAAATTTAGAAGGACTGGGCTAACATGGGAATGTTTACGTACAACTTCTGTCACTCAAATGAACAATCTTTACCTTTCTCCATGTTCTCAACATCCTTCTTTAGGGGCACAGGAGAGGCAGCACCTTGGCTTTGATCACCTGAGAACACATTGAGACTTAAATTCAGATTTATGTCCCACATATGCCATATTTACTGTCAGACACAGTTACAGTATATCAGTAACATTTGTCACCCAGAGTAGTTGTTATCATAATCATATCTTGTCATGGACTGATTTATTTTTGCATTACCAGTGTGAACCCTTCTCTGTCGCGTCATCTTCTCTGTAGCTGCTCTGTCAGTTTTGGTGGAGCACTGCAATTCACTCTTTGGCCTCTAGGTGTCAGTGTAAGTTTGTGGCAAGAATTTTTGACGCCACTGTGCATGGAGACCTTTACTGGATCCTCTCCCTGACATGTTCAGTTTCTTCTCGCTGTCATATCGTATTGCTTTCTATTAAGAAAACAAAAGAACACTACCTGTGTCCAGAAACTAGAGTAAATCGATTTTGTAGCTCTTACAACTCTGAAGCGAAGGTCTGTGCTGAAAATCAAAAGTTTAAATGGCCAATTTTGCTCAAAAAATGTCAAGCTTGCAGGTTACCGTGCTCTCAAACTGTTGCATTTTAATGATAAGAATGTTATTTTTTGACAAGTGAACTGTTTTAACCAATACTGTTAGCTATGAAAACAGCATCGGGATAGAACATCCGTGGAATTCATGTGAAACAGTATTCATGTTGTATTTAATATGTTTGTATATTTTGTCTGAGTACTTTTTAAAGTCTTGTTACTGTTGGGGGGAATCTACTTGTTGCTTTAAGACTTTTAAAACTCACCATCTCGCATCTTCTTTTTTTTTCAACAAAAATCTTCATCACATGTTTTCACATTTACCAGTTTGAAAAGTTTCTATATTGTTCTGTGTGTATGAATGTGTTGCGCTAGCGTCTGAATTGTGACAATGAGGCATTCTGCGCCTTAAATGAAGCGATCCAGCAAACTCGATATGTATATTCTCCTCCAGTCATTTCATATCCTGGCTCCTCAAGCCTCCCTATGCTTCTCTCTCTCATTTAGAGCAGCGAGAGCTCTCCTCTCCTCCTCTCCTCTCTCTCCTTTCCTCTCCTCTCTCTGTCTCATTTGACAAGCAAATTTGCAGACAGTGCCCGAGGATAACAACCTCGTTTGACAGTCAATTAACCGTGAATAGTCAAAGCCAAGGCGGTTTGCATTACATAAATGGAAAATTAGATTATTTTTTCTCCCTAGAAACAGAGGGAGAGTTTAAAGACAGTGGAGGGGGGGTGGTGGGACTCGGAGGAATCAGGCCTTCTAATCACGTAGAGCTTCCCAACGCCCAGGGAGACGTTTGGCAATCAGGGGAAAGGTGGTCTCATTTAATTTGTTTCGTGTAATTTTTCGAAATACATTATACATTATGCGCAGGGATCATTACGGTGTGTGTGTGTAGGGGTTGAGGGAGCGGGGGGGTAGATATAAATGTTGGCACAGATGTCATAAAGCACTTTTAATGTCTTCCTGACAGATATAAAAAGGCAATAAGCAGTGATCTTTTTCAAACAGGAAAGGGATTTTTGCGCTGAAGAAGGGGAAAAAAGGCAATTATGTTGGCGGGGGATATGGGCCTAGGATGGAGATTGCCAGCGCGGCTGCTTATCTCTGAGCTGATGTTTTCTTGTTGAACTATAACGGCCCCCCTAAGAGTAACAGCCCTGGCGACAATGCCGCTAAAGAGAGCAGCCGTGGCAGAGCGGCGGCTGAAGCAGCTTTCCACTGCTGTTTCATCTCTCTGTGTATTTATATGAATCCCTTAACTCACCTTCTGAGAGGAGGGGGAGATTAAGCTGGATGAAGTTGGAGACTGAGGAGCTTTAAGTATTCTGAGGTTCATTTATGTGATAAGAAATGCCATTGTAACTTGTGCATGGAAAGCCATATTCTTTTCCAAGTGAGAGTTTTTTAATCAGTATTGTTTGTTTTATGTATGGACATTTTTACATGGTGTGTATATTCATCCACACTGTGTGTGCTAAATTACAACAAAGAAGGCCAACCTTAGCTTCTCATGCCATTATATAATACAAATTTTGTAAAACAAAGTGTTTTTTATTTATTTACCTTCCAATATTGATAATTCTGCACATCCATTATATTCCTGCTCTGTAAATAAATTATTAGAGGTTGTAGTTCTAATTTGCCAACTTGCTTTTACAGTCAAAAGCTATCAAAAGTATTAATTGTGTTTGATGTTTGATCATGATTCAGTGAAGTTCATAAAGACCTCAGCATTGCTTTGCGATGTGAGCTTCAACTTACACAAGAGTATAACCAAATGCAGAAATCAAATTAACCTTGCCATCCTAATAATTATCCACTTGGGTGTGCCTAACATGCCCTTTTAAAATGTTTCTGTCTTGTTTTCATTGACTACGTTAACCATTTGCAGCTGCTACGCAACCACTTTGAAAAGAAACACAAGTGAGTATTTGTACCTGAGCTTTCCCTCCAGTAGTCGGGCGCTGACGTCTCACTCTCTGGTACAAAGAAACTATTCTGCTCTTTGTTTTCATCTGAGAGAAAATGAGACAGAGAGACAGACAGGAAGAGAGTTTCAGTAAGGCCCATTGGTTGAGCTGGTTATCCGGACACATGGAGATAACTAAGTGTGCGCAAGGTGTGTGTCCTTTGTGTGCGTATGCGTCTGTGTGCCATGTGGCCACATGTGTCTATGTGTGTGTTTGAGAGCGCACCGCCGCAAAATGCACACAAGATATTTTCTTCAGTGAAAGGGTCAGAGTGGGAGATGAGAGGAGCAAATGAAACGTCACAGGAATATGAGCCTCGCAGGGACACAGAGACGCTATAAAACCACTCACTCAGACACTAAATGAAACAAAGATGCTATAATACAACTGGCTCAGACGTCTGATGAAATAGATAGTGTGTAACAGTTTGCTGGAATTGGTTGTGTAATGCCATTTGATGAAACAGTGTAAAAACCTGTTCAAACATTTGATGAAACCAAGACAAACCAACTGCAGGGTGAATCATGTAGTGTCAAGCAACTCAAGCAAATAGTAGAGAAAGCAAAGTGATTTTTGTAGATTATATTTGAAAGAGAAACTGTATTTTGCAAATGCTTAATAGTGTATGATGTATTTGTAATGGTTTAGATAACAGAATTTTACAGTTTAAATGGGTGAATTGCAGTGATATTTTATTACACTTTTGAAGCCAGCAACAGTTACATGTAAAACAATGTTTTTGAAGAATTATTTGATCTTTTCTCTAGTGTGTAATCTACCGTGATATGCAATTTTTTTTTACCTGTGCATCAGAAGATATAAAAACAACAAAAGATTATAATGTCTCTGCTCACCAGAAATGCTGGCGTTGTCTTTGGTTGCGTATGCAGGTAGTCCTTCGTCTCTATTTTTGTGAACCTGGAAACAGCATTTGGTGGGTTAGAATGTCATATACCTGATATTCATTGTATAGTTCAATAACAACAAAGCATACATAGGTCCTGTAAGGAGTATTGGCTGTATTATTTGGTTTTCTGAAGTGACGTTTATTTTTCTATATCAATTTGCTTTTATTTTAAGTACCTGCTGTATTTACTTATTTATCTGGGAAATCTAATGGCCAATAGTAGCATTCATTTGTAATGAGTATGTGCAGTATGTTACTTGTCAATGGATGATTTAACTTGTTCTGGTTTAAAATTCTCCGCATATCTCCCTCCTTCTCCTCCTCCTCCCTCTCTCGGAGGCCAGGTTAATGTGGGAGTCAACAGGTTAAAGAATAGAGTTGCCCTAACAGGCTGGGGTGACAGAGGGAGAACAAACACATTGTGGCCATTAAACAATCCACACCTGGGCCTATTAGTCAGGATCAGAAAGGGGTGACTGTTTCATTTTCTACAGGGAGAGACCAGCTTATCAATCTGCTTATGCAGATCACATCATCGCCTGACTGCAGCACCATTTAAATAATAATTAGCTAAAGTGGCCTGGGGGGATATTTACGTTTTTGTAAGCTGGGTCTCGGTGAGGCGTGGTGGATATAGAGAGAGGCAGGCTGGCGTGAGGGGAGGCAGGCAGGCTGGGGGACTCCTGCTGGATGGGGTCCGAGGAGGAGGGAGAGGAGGTTCTGGGATATCCTGTTCCACTCCCTCTCTCCTTACCCCGCTCCTCTCCAGATGTGTCGCTCAGTGCAGGGAGGTACAGGTTGGTCTGAGTCTGTAGCGGCCTGTTAGTGAAGCTCCCATCCTCTTCTTCGTCTTCCTGCTTCGACGACTCCACATCCACCTCCCCCTCCTCCTCACTCTCCGCTCCCTCCGCCTCTCCGTCGCCTCCACTTTCACTTCCATAACTACAGCTGCTGCTGGGCGATAGCCGCTGGTGGCGATCTGACCCGGCAACCCCAAACTCCTCGTCTGTTGCCCCAGTGACTCCTCCACCATTGCTGTGGAGCTTGGCGAGGCTCTCAGCATCCTTAATGACAGGGCGGAAGGCTGAGCCATAGCTCGGCTTCCTGTTTTGGAGGGTTGAGGTGTCCAGGAGTTTGAGCCAGCCCTCTGACGTCACAGGGCGAAGGTCTGGGGTTACTGTTGTGCACTCTGGGTCAAACAGCCCGGTTCTGGTTGTGGTCGTCCCACTGCCGGGGGCCATGGTTACGCTGACACTATTACCATTGCCAGCTACAGCTCCAGGTTCGCTGGGGTCTGAGAGATCCAGAAAGGCCTGCCTGAGAGAAGGGTTGTCTGCCAGGGAGGAGAGGGCGCTGGGCTGAGGCTGGAGGTAGGTGGGCACAGGAATTCCTCCTGCTGCTCTTGGTGGCCAAAACATGCAGAAAGGAGGATAAAAAGTGTCTTTGCGGCCAGGCCATAAAAGACCTGACAGCCCTGCTCCTTTCTGCCCACCGGAAACATCACTATCGTCTTTTTTCTGCTGGCAGAGCCCGAATGCAGGGAAGGGGTAAGGTGAGGGGAAGAGCGACGTGGGAGGAAACTTCTGCAGCATTCCAAAGCCTTTACTTGGGACAGGGATGACAGGGTAGCTACGTGGTGTTTTGCGGGGTGACAGGCTGCCTCCATCAAGATCATCCTCGTCTTCATAGCGAGCTCTTTTCTGACCACCCAGGTCAGGTCCCATCATGTGAGGCACCACCGAACCTGGGAGATTCTTCATAGGACCCATGGAGGGACACTGGGCTGAAGAGGGCAGCGCTCGCTTCCGGCTCCCTCCGTTGAACATAGCTTTGACGTCTTCCCATGCATAAATTAACTCATCAGGTGGGTGTTTGTCACTGAGTTTGAGGTGTCGTCGCCAGGAGTTAAAGTTGGCAGCATCGGGCTGGGTGTACTTGGCGTCAGGTGTTCGGTGGGAATGGAAAATGAACTTATTTGGGGAGAAGTACATGTTGCAAAAGGAGCACTTGATGCATTTGGCCCTGGAGCTGTTGTAGCGTGCTGGGATGAAGTTACCACGGCAACCCCAGGCGCACTCGTGTGACACATCGAAGGCAAAGTTGTCGGGCAGTTTCGGAGGTGCGTTCTCTCCCAGGAAGGACTTGCAGAGGCGCTCAGCTTCACGCTTAGTGATCATGCCACAGCGGCGGGATGAGATGGGCATGGCACCAGCCCGACGAAGAATCTCCAACTGAACTGGAGTGCACTGGACACAGGTGATGCCCAGCGCCACACGACGATTATGGATCTCATTATAACTGTAGTTTTTGAGGAGTGTGTTGGAAATCTGCGCTAGGCAAAGTCTCTCGATATTATCAATGACCAGTGATACAATTGGAACGCCGTACAGGATGACCTGGCCGACCTGGTTGGGCTTGAGGGGTGAGGAGGAAGAGGACGGAGAAGGAGAGGATAAGGATGAGGATGAGGAGTGGAGATGGGTGGGTCTGGGTGGAGTTAGCGGTTCCTGCTGATAGGAGCCTGTTGAGCTCGTCATTATGATGTCATTAGATGTCGATAGATGGCTCTTGTCCATACTTGGAGGAAAACTGTTTGTAGAATGACCTGCGTGAAAAGAAAGCAAGAAAGATCCAAATGTATTGACTTTTAATCATATGAAATAGCTAGATAATGACTTATAATATAATATACATTAATTCTACCACATAAGTATGCCCAGAAATACTTTGATGATGTGTGGAATTTGTAAATAAAGGACAAAAGATTACTGGTCTTTGAAATATTTTATTCTTTTTAAATAAAATGCATTTAAATTAAATGCATCTTTTGGACAAGCACCAATTGTTTTAATTGTCTATGTTTAAGGAACAAACTAAATTTAGAAATACTTTAAAGTTTAAAAATATACATTTGCTGTCATTTGAACAACTCTTACAAAATTATTCAGGGCAAAGACAAGTTGTACATTAAATTAAGGTAGTGAGTTATCATTGCTCTGTGATACAGGGTTTGTTGACAGCTAATACAAAAACAACAGTTTATTGCATAAAAAAATTAGGAACTTCAGTCAGTTAATTTATTTCCCCCAAAAATGTAGCCTCTGTTGCACTTTATAGCTCTTAGCTCACACAAAGAGTGTGTTTCCCTGCCTGTGTTCTCAACAGCAGTTGCTCAGTGAAGAAACTATGATTGAGAATAATAACCAATGAAACCACAACATTATCCAGATTTACCTCTAAACATATATGCACAAATTAAAGGTTTAAATTCTGTGTTTTTTTCACATAAAAATATTTTCTTATGTCTAGAAAATGTGTCACCTAAAAAGTCAATCCTGGTCTAGTCTAAGATAAATGTAAACACACACACAGACAGTTTATTATGTTAAAATGTATTATCAACCTATATTGTCAACCTCATTGTCCTATAAAAAAGAAAATTGTCTGTCTTCCTATTTATTTGGATATATTTTTTACAAACATAATCAAGAAAATTTACAGTGAAGAGATGTTTAGCTGGAAATATTGATGTGGTGGGTAACAGCAAAACTTACTGGTTTTAAATGTACAGTACAAAGGACATATTTTTACTTTATAGTAAAGGTCTGTTTGGTACTAGTGAATGCGCTATATTACTTAGAAATAGGCTTTAATATTTCATAAAGATGACAACTTAAACAACAGCACACCATAAACAAATGTTTGTGCATCACATGTGTGATATGTTTTAAGAACAAAAAACACATAAACAACCACTGACAAAAGAGAAACATTGCTTTTAGTTTAAAAAATTAATAATTTTAGTAAATGTCTATTTTAACACATGCATTTCTAATATTACAATTTACACATTAAATTGAAGAAAATTAGTTTTATATAAGTATTATTAACAAAATAGAACACGGAATTACATGGTGTTTATTTTAAACAGACAGGTGTCATTTTTAATTTGAACAATTTATTACAGCGCAGTATGGTGGAACTGCAGGGCCGACCAACAAACTCTGTTTGGCAGATACGCAAGAGCCAATTAACCAAAAAAAAACTCAAGTTCACAGTTTGTCTTGAAATTACACAATATATGGTACTATTTGCATTTTTTTTTTATTCATTTCAGTCCAAGTTTAATTTCCTACTAAAGTTACAGTATAGGCAGGCCTAACCAGCGGCATGTCAGAACAGGCATCATGTTTAACTTATCCGTGGGACAATATTAAAAGTTCAATAAAAGGTACGCACAGATATGTTTTTATATAGTAACAAAAAACGCAAAAAACAATAATAATAGGCCTAATAATAACAATAATAAACGCTAAAAGTAATTCTAAATGATGCTTTTGTAACTGAATGTGAGCTATTCAGACACACATCTTGTTAAGCATTGCCTTCTTTAAATCATGTTTGTCACACAGTTTTCGTTTAAGGTAGGCTACTTTTTTTTTTTTTACCAACATTTTAGACAACTTTAGCAGACCGATCGAGCAGCCCTTACCTCTGACTCCCGAAAATAATCCCAAAACGGCCACAGCCTCAAACAAAATATCCTCTTCACGACAGAAATCGATTTATCCTACACAGCTCTAAAAAACTCATTTTTATCAAGTAAACTAAACGATTTCACGGAGTTATATCCGGGAAACACATGGAATTGGTATCAGCTTTTTTCTCCAACTGTCAAGTGAGCTGCTCGTGAGATGTGAGTAAACTGCGACGCTCGCGCCGGCTTTATTCGCTTCTCAGACACACCACGCGCAGTCCTAATCCGTCTCGCTCTCTCTCTCTCTCTCTCTCTCTCTCTTTCTCGACCACGCACCTGCCTCGGGTTTGATTGGCGTGCAGCGCGAGCTCAGCCCACCATCCAGGACACACACCTTCACAGGCTACACACTGTAGCCTAGTCCTCTCCTCCACGCGCTGTTCTGTTCTGCCCCATCCAGTTTAACAGCCAAAACGGCGCCTTGCTAACTGTCACTCAAATGCTGGAAAACTCAAACGGACCGAGGGACGCACGAGGAGTAGGCTAGGCTACACATTACCAATGCAGCAGACCCTGCCCAGAATTTAAGATTAGCATACTTTTAGCTACTTTACTCACTTTATTAGTGATTTTATGAATATTAATTCTAAATTGATTTGACACTGCATGCTGCTTTATACCAGTAGCCTACAAGCTGTCGCCATCAGAGGGGTGTCTGCTGGTAGACTGCACATGCTTGGGGGGGTTATTTATTAGTTTTGGGAAACCCGCGAATAAACAACAAAGGAATGTGACTTTTAATACACAACCCTTGAGTTTCAAATTAATTACCAACAAATTGATGTGAAAAGCAACTACTGGGAGAAGAAGAGAGCTTGGCATCGTAAATGTGGCTTTTAAAAACAGACAAGATGTGGAATAAAACATTAGCCTAACCATAGGGCCCGAAGAAAGAAAAAGTAAAGGCTGAGACAGCAGAAAGACAGGCAGGCAGTCTGGGGATCAGGCTAATGTCTGTCAGTTCAGCTGATTCCCACATTCAAGGCAGAGAAGCCTTTTTCGAAACATGACACTCCGTGCTTGTGCAGGTTTCTCCCAGGAGATAAAAGGCAGCAGGAAGCATACTGTAGGTACATCCTCAATGGAGGGTCAGAGGAGCTCCCAAGTAGTGCACAATGCTATAAAAGGCAGTGACAATTCACATGAAGAGGGCCCTCAAAAACTGCATTGTTCATTTAACAAAATGGGGGGTCCAAATCAGGATTCACTCTGGATGCCCGGAAAATCCTAACTACACCCCAGCTCCAAGCTCTCAAACTAGGCATGTTCCTGCTGCTCAATTACTTCTTCCACTAAAAATATGCAGGCAAATTACAGATATAAAGGCGCAGACCTAAATATGAAGTCTATAACCCAGATATTAGCTGCCTCTGCAGTCATTATCAAATGTCTGAAGGATGCAGGAAAGGATCTCATTTAACTCTGCGTGGATATACAGTCATGTGGTGTCCCACATAGGCAACTGACTGTCCTTGTTAATTAAAACAACTTAATGAAGTTGTTTTTCAGGACAAATTCTTCTGTGGCCTATGTGTAAAAAAAAATACAAAATGCTTTATGCCTGCAGTGGCTGTTCAGTGGGATGCCAGTCAGGCATTCACACATTCAGGTATACAAAAACATTAAAAACATTTCTTCACAAAGCTGAGGTCTGCATTGTTACCTTATTGCCAAATTTTTCTGTAGGCTACTCTTTTGTGAGTAATTTGGTAAGACACAAAAGAGTTGCTAAATATTTTATAGTGAGTTATACATCAATGTCAGCCATGTAAAGTGTTTTAAGGGTGTCAGAACTTCTTTTTCGAAATGTTGTAGACTCTGAAAGAGGAAGCTTATGTGAACTAGATTATTTATAAAAGCTGCAGAAACTCACAAAAAAAAAACAGAATTTAAAACAAAAATTGCTTCAACTTGTTTATAAATTCTAAATCTATTTATCTAAGCAATTCTCAATCTGGTTGAAAGGCGTTAGATATTGAGACAGACTGTAATTTATTCCTGCCCAATCTTTTCTCACTAGCATCTTGATAAACATGACAGGGTCACTCTTAAATCTGTGCGTGTGTGTGCGCAGCCTAAGCGACACAGCAGAGAGCGTGAGCCCCATCTGCTCCTTTTCAAACCAATTTAGGTTGTCACTGCGCGTGCTTTTGTCTCGCGGACGGACGCCAGGGGAACACTATAGCTGCGTTGGGACAAGAGGGGCGCGAGCCACGCACGTGCCGCAGCTATTAAAACGGATGACGTCACAATAGAGAGACGCGTGGAAGTAATAATAAGATACAAACACCAGGTATAGGAAGCTTTAAAAGCAAATAAACAATTATTTTCGTGCGGAATATCCATGTCGGCAAATAGGTTATTGATTATATTTTATAAAGACTTAAATGTTGCATTTACAGCTGACTTTGAGTATTTTTATTTATTAGTGGCCTGAAGGTTTGTAACTTAAAGGTTACTATGGTTCAACATTTTAGCCGCAGGATAGATTTTTTTAAAGTTTTTAACGTACATGTAGAAATTTTCGTAGCCTATGTGTTTCAGATGTAGCCTATTTGTTTTCCTTATTTATTCATTCATTTTTTGGGCGCTTTACAAACTCTCTTATGTGGTATTTTCTATAAGGCTAGGCCTATTATAACAAAAACTAATGAACGAAGTCCATGGCTACACTAACATTTCTGATACAGTCTCAATTACTTACAAATTCCCTGTTTTTAAAACAATGAAAAAAATTTTTTTTTTAGAAAGAGCATAATGCACACCTTTCTCTGTTCCTGGGATATCTCTGACATGTTATCAAAAGCGGAGCATGTCGAAACCATGTGAAGCAGGAAAAGACTTATAGGAATACAATAGCGCTTATTAGCCCCTTTGGAATACATTTCACTGTTTTCATAATGCATTAGCCGGTCGCCCTACTGAGAAATTAATCATGCGTTTAAAAAAAGAATTGCTTGTGTGACCTCGAAGGGTCAAAGCAGGCAGAAAGAGGGAGAGAGAGCTCAAAACGCAATAAATTAAGAGCTACAACACTAAGTGAGCTTGAGACA